GAGCACCAAGCATAAATAGGACCAAAATGATGGAAGTCAGCAGGCGTATAGGCGAAAATACAGGAAAAGCGCGGAAGAAGGCACCGAATCCGCCATGAGAGCGAACCAGACGAGTGGTGGCCCGGATGCTCGAGGTAATGGGAAGAGTGCGGCCACCGGGGTGTGGACAACAGGAGCACGGCTAGCAGAAGCGTGGCCAGCAGAAAGCGCCAGGAGCATCAGGGACCTTCTTCGGGCCGTTGTGGAGAGCTGCATCATCAGCGAAGGATGCAGTCTCGTCGTCATCCAGGGAGATTCGGTCGTAAGCAGTATCGTTCTCATCTTCGACCATGGCTAGCACGGGAAAGACTCGCTGGAAGGTGTAGAAGGTCTATCAGGTCAGTCGAGTTGGCATTACAGGTCTTACACGATTGGCACGACTTGAGAGACATACGATGATGAGAAGAGGGAGAAAGATGATCCAGTCGATCAGAACAATAAGCAATGACCAAGGTGGGAGCTGATCTTGCGAGGTGTTGGTGTCCCTCTTGGAGAGCGACACCGGACTGTCAGCGAGTCTTCCGTAGACAGCGGTCGCGATAGCGACGCCGGAGCTGACGGGTAGCATGGTGGCTAGAACGCAAAATTTGAAGAAGAAAGCAGGAATGAGGATTGTGAATGAAAGCGATGCTCAAGAGACGTAAGGTTGGGGGGAAGCTAAAGTTCGGAGGTGAGTTATGAAAGTAAGAATGACTGATGAGAATGAACTGCGAATTGGCCTTGGTACGTGACAGCAGTCGCGAAGCGCCAGGCTTGCGGCACAGTCGGGTGGGGTCGTGCAAGGCAACAGCTGTACAGCCCCTTCCAGCTTCCATCGCCACCTGCTTACCCGTCTACCTACGTAGGTGTCTACCTAACTACCTGCCAGAGGTGAGGTAATGTACTTTATTCTAGGTACATAGCAGCCTGTCATTGAGCTTACTCCCGAATTACCTAGGTACCTTAGGCACTGTTGTGCCACTCATAATTGTTTCAATTCAGGGGAATAGTGAAACCTCGCCCACGCCTACAAGAGCCTCTTCCTATCTACCCTTTCAAGGTACCTAGGGTCGATACGGGATGGATAGTGTCTTCGTCCAGACACCCGGTAGCAGCCTCTGTTGTACACCATTACTCTGCCAGCGAAGCCGCTTTGCACATTCGCCACCAGGTACCAAGCCAGAGAGAGTCCTGCTCACCTTACCTATCTACCTAAGGTATGTATCTTCAGGGCTAAGGCAGGATTCTTGATGTTCAGCCTTGTACCTAGCCTCTTGGCGGCTGATGCCACGAGACATGCCGAGAAGGCAAGGCGCAGGCCGGGTCTATGTTCCATTCCTCGTGACATGAACGGGCCGCCAAATACAAGCAGACGTCGTAACGTGGCTCTTCATTTTAAAGGCACAGCGTATAGCTGCTTAGCTTCTACGAGGCATCTTTTGAGCTCGTAGGGAATCTCATACTTGCTAGACTTCAAGAAGACTTCACCGATATGGCCTCAGGCCTTCGGCGCATACTCCACATCTAACGAGACCAGATCTTGATTCGAAGACCACCTACACGTAACCTCTCTGCTAGACGCTCATTTCTTGCATGCTAGGAAAGCATGCAAGTCAACATCTAATGTGCACATGGGGAGGCGCCGCAGATAAGCAAGCAGTAGATCGCTACAATAAAAGGGCAAATGGCGGTACATCGGGATACAAGCCTTAGATGGCAGATCGGATATTGATTACAATTCGCTCGAGCGTCCAAAGACTATGACCCCCATACTCTATTTCTGGTGTTCATTTTCACCATTATACATCCCAGGTTAAGAGTACCAACTCTGCCTCAATACAGTACTTCTGCTTTGAAAGCCTTGAATTTGTACGAATTTAGCAGGTTCCTCAGTACGACCGAGGAAGCCCATGCATGGTTCATGAACCGGTTGCACGCGCCACTAAACTAAGAGCCAATTTTTTTGCTGCACAGGCGAGAAAGTGTATTACGGGCAACCCAGATGACGTAGCGCGAAGATTGCGACCTCAAAGATCAATAACAACCATGGTTCAGGTGTCAGTAATCCCTACCTTACCTACCTTAAGAGCTACATATCTGTGGCCACTTGTGACACTGGACAGTAATCAGGACCCCACCACTCAGAGCTACACTTGCAATCACTCTACCACTACATGCTACAAAGCTAGCAAACAATACACAACAGTGAAGAAAACTCGGCCTACTGAGAAGCGAACGAACGAGCATGTCTCATGATACGATACCCAATCTCCTGTCACTCCGCGGAGCTCGTTCTGCTCGCGGGCGTGGTCGGACCGCAGGCCCCCCAGGCTTCCCCTCGCGAGCCACCAATGACCTGGCCATCCAAGGCACTGACGATGATGCGGCCGCCTCCCGTCTTAGTGCCGTCTCGCTTGGCTATCTCCAGGACCCGTTTGCCCAGTACTTTGTCGAAACACAAGCGTCGCTGGCGCCACGTCGTCTGCCTATTATCAACAGAGGCGAGTTTTGTCCTTCTCCCTACCGACATGCCGTTCTCGTGCTTGAACGCAGGCTGACCTGGTAGCCAGGCACATACACCAGGACATGTGCGCTCAACCAACTTGTAGACTCATTCCTAGCCGAGGATGATCGTTCGTTTCCGATCCAGTCGAAGGAACGGCAGATCATCTCGCTTGGCGCAGGCACTGACACGCGCATTTTCCGTATTTTCGGAGGGCGGGCGTGTCACAACCTGGTATATCACGAGCTGGATTTTCCCGTGACTGTAACCAAAAAGTCGCGCCTCGTGTCGGCAATACCTCCAATGAGGCGAGTCCTTGGCGAACAGGTACCGCAGCCGGATGGATCATGGAGCTGTCGCCCGCCTTCTGGCGGAGAGTATTATTGCCATGGCATTGACTTGCGTGAGCTACCTCAAGGCGGACATTCGCAGTTGAAGGGCTTGAAGAAGAACGCGCCTACGCTGCTGATATCAGAATGCTGCCTTTGTTATCTCGAAGCTTCAGCTGCCGAGAATACGGTCAAATGGTTTACAGAACAAATTGAGAACCTCGCCTTGGTCGTATACGAGCCTATTCGGCCTCATGACCCATTCGGGAAGATGATGATTTCTAATTTGGCGGCTCGAAGGATAAGGATGCCCACGTTAGAGAGCTACCCCTTGCCAGCGGACCAGGAGGCCCGGCTCCGGACTGCAGGCTTCAAGCATGCGAGCGCGCAAACTATCGAGTACATTTGGGAAAACTGGGTGTCGTCCCAGGAAAGAGAACGAGTCAACGGTCTTGAGGGCCTTGATGAGGTAGAGGAATGGCAATTACTCGCTGATCACTACGTCGTGGCATGGGCTTGGAGAGGCGAAGGATTCGGTGGCTGGCAAGGTGCCCGCAACAACGAGGAAAGTAGGTAGTGTTCCACGGCATAGCTCTCCTAGAGGTGTATCGTCTACAAACGCAAGCCTGAAGGTGGGGCAGAAAATGCACGTTCGAAACCTCGTCTGAACTAGTATACACCCATACAAGGTAACAAAAACAGTCTAAGAGGACTTGCGCTCAAATGCAGTCCACTGGCCTTCGGCAGGCTTCTCCTCCAGATCTTCCCAACTGCAGAATACGTTAGCGTGAGTTCCAAGAGTACGTGCAGTAGTCCAGCCTTACACTTTGGACCTGACCATAGCATCAACCAGGCCAAGCTCGCCTTCAGCCACCTGGATGACCTCTTCAATCAGACCCGCCCCGATCTTGATCTCAAGCTCGGCGATCCTGTATCTAGTCAGTAACGATATACCCGATTGACGCGCCAGGGAGATAGATGTGCGTACTGGTCCGCCGTCAGCTGCGGCTCCTCCTTCCACTGCAAGGGTTCCTCGGCTCTGAGATCCTTGCGCTCGGCGAGCACCTTCTGGTCAGCCCTCTCAGCCTCCGTTCTCAAGCCCTCAGACCCAGGACCCTCATCAGCCTCGCCGTCCCATTCCTCAAGCCGGATATCACCCTCCTCGTGCTGCTTGCGGACAATAAACGTCTTGTTACCCAGCTTGACGATCCGGGCTTCACTGCCGTCGAGACGCCCGCTGGCGACCCGGAACTGCTCGGGGTTGCCACCCAGCTTCTGGGACAAGTCTTTATTTTCGGCGTTCCACTCCTCGTAGCCCGGCGGCACGGCGGCCTCAACGAGCGCGAGGCGGTGCTTGGTCACTGCTTCAACCGATTGGCGGTAGAGGGAAGACTCGGGCATCTGCTTGAGCCTGTCGAGGGTGCTTCCGTAAAGGTAGAGCAGTGCGGACCGGGGGCTGTTGTGCGTCCAGAGACCTGTAAGGCCTGTCGGGGTGCCGGGCTCAAGGTAGCGCGCCTTCTGGACGCTTGCCAGGAGGCGGAATGTTTGCCGCATCTTTATGGGCTGTCTGTCGATCGTCGGATGCGCGAGGGGTGGTGATGACTGGCGGTCGTGATCAGGACATCCAATGTCAAGCGACAGTTGAGCTCAGGACCGAGTTGTTGGTTAGACTTTCGATGGTCAATTGGCGAAAGCTGATTGGTAAAGTGGAGATGCTCCGGAGGACGATGGTCCATTACTAATGAGTCACGTGATGACCAGCTGCGGGGACCCATAGTTGACGCCGATGCGCGTGGGCCATGTTCAGTCTCGTCTACGGTCACAGGGGCTTGAGCATCAAGAGTTCGAGTTCCGCTCGCCCAAACTCCCCAGCAGATGCAAACGTGGGCATGCCGATGGCGGACCTCCAGTGAGATATCGCATCCATGGGACTCACTCAGCAGGCGATATGATCTCCCAGCCATCAATGATACCGCTTGATTTCAACAGTATCAAGGCGAGAACCTCTTGAATCTCAGCGTGTTGCTGTGGTGTTGCTATTTATCCCAGTCACATCAGGCACGCGAGGCATTTCAGTGGTGTAATTGTTCACAAGTAGGAGAAGCTTTAGCTACTACAGAAATGGAATCTCGTGCACACCCAACAAGCGAATGCGACAAAAAGAGGTCGTGCACGACCCGGCCGTGCCATCTTACAAAACTGTGGGTTCCGATCCCTGAGTATCGAAAAATCAACAAGAGCATTCCGGCTGCGATTTACTCCCCTTAAGCGGCATTATCACGACTCTTCCGGTAGCTGGTCTATTTCAATAAGTCAGTACTCCAAGCCATTCGCAAAAGTCATCGTACGACCTACCTCTTGCTCCACCTGGAGGCCATCCACGACAGGCGCCAGTTCGCTTAGGATTTCGTAGGCCTTCTTGTGATATTCAATTTGCGCCGCGATCAAGTCTGCCAGGTTGCGAAGAGGCTCGGGGGTGTCGAGAACCTTCATCTTCGAATTAGCCTTCTTGATCATAATCATGTCAGACAGCCTGGTTTCTTACATTCTTCATGACGCCAACAGCCTCCTCGGTCTGTGTGACGAATTCGTCCTCGGCCTTTTCAATCTCCTCCTGGGCCTCAGGGCTAAGCTCATGAGATTGGGGTTGGTCACCCTGTACGGAGCCCTGGGCGAGCTTCCAAGTAGTGCCGTGAGCACGAGCCTTGACCGCATCGAGTGTGAGGCGTGCCTTCTCGACGTTCTTGCGAGCGCGAGCGGCGAACATGAGGTTGGTGTTCAGAGTAGTTGTCCAGCTGTTCAGAAAGTGACTCTGGATCTGAGCGTCTTGGGCAAGACGAGCCTCGCCGACGCTCTCCTGAGCGAGAGCATACTTCTCCAGGGCCGTCGCAAGAGGGTCTTCACCGGCACCGGTGTGCTGCTGGTGCAGGACTTGGCTGCTGGACAGACTGGCGCGTGCAATCGCATGGTTAAAGGTCTTGGGCTGCGGCTTTGCAGAGGGGGGGGCTGTCAAGGCGGCTTGTGCTTCCGCAGGGGAGCTGGCTGAGGAAAGAAGACTGACCTTCTCGCTCACGGTACGGCCAAGATCCTGGAACGTCTCCTTCAGATTGGGGGGGTAGTCGTAAGCCTCGTTAGAGTATTGAGACCTGAGCAACACGTGTCAGCTAGGTCCAGTGTAAGGGGGGGGGGGGGGGTTTCGGTATTTGGACCGTTATAGAACCTACGTCACGGCCAGCATCTTCTGATGCACAATCTTCAAGGCATCGACGCGCTTCTCCAAGTCGATATAATCAGGCGGAAGTTGGGTCTGCAGATGAGGGGGGCCTAGGTGTCAGTGCGCACCCTAAGAAACGCGAATTGAGGTGATGTGCATCGATCCATACCTTATCTTCAGCCTGGCCAAGTTGCTCCTTCGTGTATTGGAAAGTGCGAGAGGCGAATGGGGTGATCGAAGCCCCGAAGGAACTATAGCGGTATCCGGTCAGGTCACGGATTGTGGAGTCGCCCAGTCGAGCCAGGAACAAACTGGATATACGAGTGAAGCTGAACTTACGTGATATTCTTCCCAAAGTTGCTGAAGTCCATCTTGAAGTATCTCAAGCGCGTATTTTGGGCTTATGAACGAACTCGCGATGGCTATTATGGAATAGCTCGATCTGCTGCGAGACAGAGCGGTTTGTTCGTCGTGATATGAGGTGCTTGTTGGCAGCTGGTAATTCCGCAATAAAAGGTTGCCTAAGGTAGGTAAGGCAGGATAGTATCATCACAAGCTCTCCAAGGGGAACTACGTAGTCCAGGGATTCAAGGCACGTGCGCTGCACCTCGATTGCCTGCACGTGATCGCGCTAGTGTGAGCGCGCGTCTGCCTTGGCAGGGGTTACATGTTCACGGTCTCCACAGGCTCAACAAGCTCGACAGCGTTACGATGAGGTGGCTGGGGTCACCAAGTCCCCAAATTGATTACACAAAGTGGCAATCAGCTGCCCATGGCATTTTTCCCTAGCTGTCTTATTGCCGCTGCATTGTATTTACAATACCTCTAATCCTCTTCAAACGACACCTCTCGTCAGTCAGCAGCGCGCTGCTTATCCTCCCATGATGGCTCAACTCGGTAGCAAACATCTTGGTAGTCCTTGAGCTTTGGATCTCCCAAGGACAACTGCGAAGTTGTCCAGAACATCGTCCAATTCGATTCATTGAGCTTGCATGTACCCAATGATCGTTCAAAGTACCACTTATTGACCGGATTGTCTTTCCTGCTTCGCCAGCAAACACCATCAGGGAAACATCCTCTGACCATGGCGTTGAAAACGACATCGGCCACGCCTCCACTGCCCTGCCGACTTCTCAGGACAGCGAACTTATCCAGGTAAGGCACAAAGCGTCCAGTCTCGTATGCAGTCTTGTTGTCCAAGCCAGCTGGTTTCTCCCACGTCAATATAGCCCCACCTTCATACTCTCCAGCAATGATGATTCCGGCGAGATTATCGTTGACCCGGTTCAAATAATGCTGCAGATCAAGCTTGCGACCAAATGAATCCTCGATCAGGTGTTGCAAACGAGGTAAATCAATGCATTTGTCCGTAAGTCTGAGACGAGATGCACCTGGCTTTGGAGGAAGCCAGAGTTCCTTCGTTGGGTTAGGAAAGATGGTAAGCGGCATTCCACGCTTGACCACTGTCGCGACATGCGTCTCATTGTAGCCTTGACCTGGACTCTTTTCAGTCCGCACGCGTTCGAGCGGCAGGGAGGATGAGAAGACGGGCTTATCGGTCAAGAGATTGTGTATGAGAGGGTTCAGTCGGTTTCGAGTCGTGACCGTGGGGAGCGATTCGACAGTCTTAGTAGCAGCCAACGATGGGGTGCTGATGAGCACACTCGACGTAGATGGAAGCATGGTCAGCAAACGTTTGGACAGATTGAGGTTCTTTGCGTGAATCGCATTCGAAGTTGATAGCTGATCCGGGTATAATGCTCCTGGTATGTCGCTTGTTTTGAGCGTCCTCATGATGGGTTCAAACTCTTGTTCGAGATTGATGAACCTGTGGCAGGGACCGGACGGGCCCTCGATCGGAGTGCCGCCCAGAGGGTCGAGGACGATGATCCTTTCGATAGAAGCAATGCGTGCAGCCGCACCAGAAGAAGGTCCAAACCGTGGCTCCAATTCATGTTGGTCAATGAACTGGAGCCCAGCAAAGTATTTGGTGAGTGCGATGATTGCATCATCTGCGTCCACGGCATCTGTTGTCCCCAAATCTCGAGATACCATGACCGGAGGTATTATTACCACCTCCTCGTTCTGCAATGCTCTGATGAGCACCTGTGGGAATTGAACCACGACGCTAGAGGGCATGAAGCTGTGGTCACGGGTCGACTTTGGAGCGAAAGATTGATCTGCAACTTTGGCTCCTGGAGGCCCAAAGACATCCAGTGCCTGCTGGAGCCTGTGAGCTTGTTGTCTATAGAGACTTCGAGAGCTGTCTGCTCCACCATCGAGGACGATGACGCTGACAAGTCCAAGCTTGCGAAGCTGCGAAAGGGTTTTTGAAATGCCATGTAAAGCGTCACCGTCTAGTATATGCGGCAAGCGCAGTTTGACGATGGCGAGGTTAAAAGGCTCGTCGAATGAGCTAGTCGAATCAGGCCGGCTCCCTTGTATGAACTGAGGCGCGTCACTTATGGACCGTACGGGCGATTCTGTCGCCCATCCAGATGGCGGCAATGACCTCGAGCGCTGCTCCCCGGGTTCCGCATTCTGAGTTTTGTTCAGAGGGGCGTACTTTCTCAGATAACCCTGTGCATCTCGCCTGGTTGCTGATGCTTGCAGCACAGACACAACAATGTCCTGTACGATGATTAGAAGCGATGCGGTATCTAGAGCAAGGTGAAGACCAACCTGCCGATCTTCTGCCCTTCGCTTCTCTTCGTTTTTAGGGCCCAGGTTGTTAATGTTTGTCGAGATGTACCTATGCAAAGAGCTATGCCAATCTTGTAGGTGACACCTCCCATGCCAAGGCGTAGAGTTGAACCACAAGCCAAGCAATAACTGCAGGTGCAGCGGTCAGAAGCGAGTACAGATGCACAGGGAACCAAGAAAGTCCTCACATGTGAGCCTTTCGGGCCTATCTTATCTGGGCGAAGGCGTTTGAGGGTCATGATGCTCGAAAGAGCATCGCGGGTTACACGAGAAAGCCAGTGCCCAGCTTCTGGTAGAAATGTGCTGGTTTGGGATGAGCGCCCTCTTTAGGTCGAAAAGGTCTTCGTCCGCCCTTCGTCCGCCCTCCGGCAGTTTCGTAAGATCGGAAAGGGACACGGTGAAACAGACAAACAGCAACTTTCGCATTTAGATCAAAACTTTTACTCAAGTCAATAGTGCTGCCGAGGTTGCAACGGAGCAAAGAACGGTGAGTCAGCTCCCTGCTTTGCCCGTGAAGACCATGCCACGGACGATCTGATAAGAGGCCTGCGTTATGGCGCACCGACGCATTGGTGCTTAGCGCCTCAGAACATGGGTATGGGTCATACTACGCACAAGGCATTCGCCATACATATAGATCGAGAGGTGGACTCGGTCTAAGGTTGGAATCGAGTAGCTGAAAACGTGTAAGGGAATTGACCGCTGCTTTGACCGCCCGAATCTTGTGAAGGCTTGCTCTGTATGCTTAGTACGGTCGGAACCTTTAGGCAGTCCTGGATGACCTTTACGTAGGTTCTGAGACACTTATGCACAAGACCTGACGCCCCCATATGCTACTAACAGGGTCACCCATTTCGTAGGCCCCACTGCTGCCTTATCCACCGGGCATGTCGCCTTACTTCAGAGGTAGGAAGGCGGGCTAGCAGGCGAGCTCGACAAGCTGGACTCGACAACCGCGATCTCGCAACGACGCAATTGACCTGCAGCACTTCACGCGACGTGTCCAGCCGAACGACCTACCGCCACTAACTAAAGCATTCCGAAACTGTCAACCAAGATGGCTCAAGGGTAATTGTGTTTCCGACAACCTCCAGAAAGTAGCTGTCGTACTGATGCGAACGGGCTACACAGCTACAGCATCATAATCGGGTTCGTGGTCGTGGCTGCTCTCAGCGCGATTGCATGGTTCCTCTCCCCGAAGGGCGAGAATCAGATGTAGGTGTCACGTTCGCGCCTGGTCACCATGGCAGACCCGATCACTGACGAAGCACATCTGCAGCATCTGGCGATCCTCCCTCATCCTCGCCTTCGTGAGCTGCTACCTCATGTGGGCCATTACGTTTCTGGCGCAGCTACATCCCCTGATCGAGCCTCGACGAAGCGACCTGAGGGGGGAGTTTCTGGAGCACTGAGGCGGCGAGTCATCAAAGGGGCAACTCCGGCGGGTGACGAAGGAGATGCCGCCACTGTACGATTATCGATGCACACTTCAACGGCGTTAAGGTTTCGATGGCTAGCAGCTCGCACAAATGCGGGTGAATCAGACGAAGATTGCAAGAACCTCGACTATTTAATTCGCCTTATCCAGACCGAGAACGTGGAGAGCGTGAGCCTTTCTATGGCGCTATGAAATACTGCTCGAGGGGGTCGACGGCATAGCCTAGTAGATAAATCGGTCAATAGGAGCTTGTATTCTTCGCTGCAGCCTAGGCACGCCGGCGGTTGCCCTATCCACTGACGAGCTGGCCAGCCCAATTCCTCATATGCACGAGGAGCGCCCACAGGGCCTTGCCGTCGTCTGCTATACTGGTCTCACCAACCGAGTCAATGCCGCGCAGGCCCCCAATCCAGAGTACGGCGCGACCGACGGCCCAGCGGGCAACAGCACCGACCGCGGCTAACACTGCGGCGACGATATATCCACAGTCAAGAAGTATTCTCAAGGCCTCAATGTTATTTGCCACCACAGCCCACCCAAGCGACCGCGCAGCTGCGGGGACGTCATAACGCCATATGACCATCAGGATCGGGAAAAGTTTGGTCGAAGACGACACAAGTAGGGCCGTAGACACTGAGTTAGGCCGTGGATAGCGGCGGATTGTGCCGAGGACAACCAGTGGCGACAACGGCGAGGACGTGAGGAAACGAATGCTCATGTGGAATGCCAATGTAGAGAGCGCGCAGAGGACGACTGCGCTCCTGTTAGCAGGTGATTCGTGAAGGAGGGCAGGATTTTGACGTACGAAAGAACATGTATTGGTAGACAATTGACTGTTGAGCTAGGCTACTCAGCTCATTGCTTGTCTTCGGGTCAGTCTGTTTCTCAACGCGTGCCCATGTTAGGTACACGTCAAAAAGCAGGAGAAGAATTGCCAAGCGAGAGATGGAGGACTGATGAATCAAGAGACTGAGGGTTAGATGGGTTCCGCATTGGAGTAATCGTCGAGTCGGATTCACATACATCGAAGCTGTCATCCTCCTTCATGAGAGTGTTGTGTAAAAGATGACGGTAGACCTGCGGTTTGATCAAGACGAGATCGATAAAGAGGACGACAAAGTCATGCTCTACATATTTGTCGCAGAACCGACCGCAGTTCTTGCATACCGTCAACCGGATGTTATGCCCACTGGACTTGTCTCCAGCCCCAGAGTACTGCGTCCACAGCGTCGGGACTGGGTGTCTGCACTCAATGCAGATGGGCATGGCGTAAGCGAGCGACGATATGGTATTTGTAGAGAAAGCGCACACATTCGGTAGCTCCTGGTGGAGGTTGTGTTCGTTGGGTATTCTTGTTGGATGATGTCCCTCCCAATCACCACCCTCCCTTCGAGTGAGATTAGATAAATGGCGATGGGAAACGGCAGCGTCTTCCCAGACTGGTTAAAGAGGTCGAAGCGATGCTTGTGCAACAAAGCCGTGCTGACAAGACATACTCCAACTGGTTTTCTTCTGAGCGCGTCTGTATGTCTGTGTGAGAAGCAGTCGTCGAGGCCTCCGGCTTCAAAGGGTCATGTCCCAGGGCTACCCTCGAAAAATCATGAGCTTCATCAACGACTGGATAACTCATGGCCCGAGTGCATGCCGAAGAACATAACATTAGTGTTTTGCGGGTCAAACAGAGTGGTGGGGAAAGCTGTCAACTTCAGACAGTACGAGCTGTGCGCACAGGTAGCTAGCTCCTTTGGGCCTATTCCTTTCGTGGCCGATACCTCCTGAGAGGTTACGTCGTCTCCCAGCTCAATCACGAACGCCATTCATCCAACGATTTCCCAGGCGAGAAGCACACCTGAACGGCCCATCTTTCGACTACGAAACTAATGCCACTGGCGGGTCTACAGATTATCTGCTATCAGACATAGTCTTTCGCCCAACACAGCGCCCTCAACGCTTCCTATCCCTATCCGTCCCGGCAATACGCTTGGCCAACGTCTCTCCCTCGCTACGATAACGAACCAACCCCAAGACGCCACCGGAGCCATCGTCAACGACGCCCATTCCGATGCAGCGACAAATGTGGCCAATGCTTCAGGACGCTTGTTGAGTCTTGTCTCGTTTTCCAACGTCCCGGACGCGAACGTCATTGTCTGCGGCGTCGAGCCATGGCAGAATCTCGCCGGGCGCCGTCGCGCCTCGGCTCATCAGCTCTCCTACCAACTGGTCATGATGCTGACACGACCGCTGTGCGTCCTCGAAACCGCCGCCTTATCAGCACGGACGACAACGGGGACGGCATTTTGTCGACTGCCAAGAGCTCCTCGTCGCTCTTCTCGTCCTTCAACACCCTGTCGAGTCGCAACCCAAGCCCGCTGCCCTTCAGCCGCTCTGGCATCAGCAGTGATCATCGGTCTACCAGCAACCCGCCAGACAATAGAGGACTCAAGGCCCGCAACCATAACGCCCTTGGCTTGTTAGAAAGCTCCCTGACGCAGAGCTGGACGTCGCTCCAGGGCTTCGCCTCTTCACTGATCACAGGCGAAACTGGGCCCCCTCAGTCCAATGGCAGACAGGGATCGAATCAAAAGGGACATGCTGGCAGAAGTAGGCAACTATCCAACACTTGGGGACCACAGCCTCTGTCGGATGCGCGGCCAAGTGCTCAGGACATCGCCGCCGGATCACTGGCGCAAAGACAGGCAGCACTGAAGGCTGTGAGAACAGCCGCGATACTGGAAAGCCATGAAGGAGTGAACGGCGGCTTGGATGTCGCTGGGAAGTACAAGAGGAGGACTTCGGACGAATTTGGGGCAGAGACGCACCAAGAGGAACCGCCGATGGACCAGCTGGTGTATATTCACCATGTGCAGCCAAGCGACACATATGCCGGAATTGTCCTCCGCTACCGGTGCCGTGAGGATGCATTGAGGAGGACGAATGGACTGTGGTCAAGGGACGTACAGATGCGCCGGTGGCTGGCGCTGCCAGTGGACGCTTGCGAGATCCGGGGGAGGCCTTCCGAACCGCCATCGCGCCTCCACCAGGGTGTAGACTTCTTGGCTCCTACCCCTGACGCGAAAATTGGCGCCGAGGTGGTAGGCAGTAGCCATACGCGTGGCAACATGTCCTCAGAGGAGGCGCACCAGCAAGTTGACTTTTTCAGTCTACCGAAGACTCAAACGCCAGTCGACTTAGCCAAACCAGAAGACCCGGGCGAGCCATTGTGGACTCACGTCCGGTGGGTTTCTCTGGATTCCTTTCCTCAACCCGTCGAAATCGCTAGAGTGTCCCGAAAAACCATCGGCTACTTCCCTCCGCGGCGCAAGAAAAGCCTACACACAGCTTCCACAATGACAACGCCGAGGCAGTCTCTCGACGCTTCAGCAGTCATGGAGACATACGAGGACAGCCCCGGATGTGATAGTACATTGTCTTCAAGAAGGCTGAGTGCACTCAGTAACCGACCGGTCCTGCCAACAACGCCCGGCCGCTCAACGTCAACCTCAACCAGAAGCCGCGGCGGCAGCACTGGCACTGACAGTCGTCCGTCGTGGATGCGCCGACCTGGCGGTGTCGGCTCCATGGGCAAAAACGCACGCGCGCCAGGTCCGGAGAAGGACTACTTCAACTCCTGGGCCAAGAAGCACATCCCTGCCATCGCTATTGATGAGCATCTTCCGTCCATATCCGTCATGGGCTCCGAGACGGCACGTATCGGATTCGGGAAGCAGCAGGAGCAGTACGACTCTTCGGTCATTGTCGAGAGCCCTTTTGACGAAGGCCAGGACCTGACGACAGCATCAAAGCACGGGTCAGGACTTGACCGCGCTGCCGCACAAGTTGAGACCTGGCTTCGTGGTGCATTTACGAGGCGTCCGAGCGCGAGTACGCCTGGCGCGGGAAGGCCACGAGGGAACCGGCAGCTTGACGATTTGGATCTCATAGAGTTGGCGGATGCTACTAGCGAGGATGGCAGATTACTCGGCCCAGGGGGGCTAGGCCCTAGCACAGCAGACCCAGTAGGCTCCGAAGCGGTCAGCTCAGAGGAGGCGACGAGTCTTGCGCCTGGCGCCACAGTCAGGGGGCGCGTCGCGCACGCACACAGTGGTTAGGATGTAGATTGAGGCACGATTTGGCCCTGCATTGGGAAAGAAACGCGACTACAGTCGGGGACCAATCGAAGGTCAGGCGTTAGACCGCGCGCCCAAGGTGTATGTTCATTATCTAGCATTGAAGGCGTTGAGCGCAGCATGATTAAGTCGGTTTTGGGTAGTCCATTATCTTTCGTTTGTTGAGTCACGACAAGGCTTTCGCAACGCCTCGGTACTGATCACTATGCGAATGCCAGGGGCCTTTGGGAGCTGCTGAACACCTGACGAGTTTTTAACGTAACTTGTAAGCAATGTTCAGGCAACCCGCTCTTCTCTTCCCTCATGCCATTTGTTCAACACGGTGTGCAAACCCTACGAGACCACACTCTCCCGTTCCAATGCAATGATAGCTGCTTTGCGTGACGAACATGATATCTCTTCACTTCATAAATAGCCGGTGACGAAGGCAAGGCGGGCTACATCACACCTACGTTTGATTCTGGTTGAGATCAATGTTCAACGATGCCAGATCGCCGTTATTGATGCCAAAGAACTGGAACCTAAAGTGCCACTAGTCAGTTCGCGTACCTGGGGAAAGAAGACGAGCAGCTCACCAATCTTCGACATTCAGGGTGTTCGGTACTGCCTGACCTTGGGCAGAGCCTGTACTCCAGCTGTCACTAGGGCTTTGTCCATCCGGCACGAGACCGTCAAAGTTTGGCTGCCATAGGCTACCAGGTCCTTGTGGAAAAGAAGTCATGTTGGAATGCATCATGTTCTGCGCCTGAAGTGGGCTTCCAGCCAGCCCTGGTTCGTTCGATGAACGCGATGGGGCAAAGGCTCCCTGGGTCGACTGTCCTTTGATGGGGCATGTTTCCCTGTTGCGCGTGAGTGTTGCCAAATTGAGCCATAATACTGGAATCGACGCCTTGGTGGTTCTGAGGAGGTGACGTGTGTGGCATTGCTGGCATCCCAGCACTATCAGGAAACAGTTGGTCAGGCTGGAAATTTTCCCACAGCGACTGAGAGATGTTGGGCGAGTTGCGTGTCACCAGATACAGATCTGGTGGCGTGGCGGGAACCGAAAAGGATGGGTTGAAGGGCGTCGCAGGTCTTGTATGAGGCCGTGACGACGTCCCGCCCATAAATGTGTCAGGATTCTGCCTGTGGCCAGGTGAAGCCAGCGGTGGCGCCATCGCCACGTTGTTGCTCTGTCCTTCATTCTTCGATATGAGACTGGGTGTTTGTGGCCGCGACCGCTCATACGATTCCTGAGGCGTTGGAGTGTTGACACTGAAATCGATTGCCATGTCATCGTACTTCCGTTTAGACATGTCGGAGTTTGTCCGTTGTGGTTGTTGCTGCTGTTGCTGTTGCTGTTGCTGTTGCTGCTGTTGCTGCTGTTGCTGCTGTTGTTGCTGGTGCTGCTGGTGCTGGTGCTGCTCTAGCTGGGCCAGCGTTGAGTGCGCTTTGCGATGTCTTTTCCCTGCTGCTCTCTGGAGACGCTCCTCGAGTACTTTGTTCCCAATGATTGACTCGAAAAGTGTGTAAACCATCTTCCCCACGAGCCAGACGCGTGATACTTCCTTGAGGGCCTGCATGCATGTGCGGAGTCTGTCTTGGGTCACCTGCTGGATGGACGGAACCGGCGATCGCATCTGATAAACATGCATGATGAGCGCAGAGAAAAGGCTGTAGACCACAAATGCTGGACAGTAGCGCAACTCTTTATGAGCTGCCAGGTTCTCGATAATGGAAGTAATCATCGCGGCTGCTTGGAAGGCAATGTTCCGGGACGGATATGGCGAGTCGTCGGGAAACCGAGTAGCCACGCCGTTGGGTGGCATGTGAGCTCTGTGAAGGAGGCATAGGGTTGTGTAGTAGTTCGAGTGCAAAAGCGCCGACCAAAAGTGATGTCGCGCAACCTCCCAGTACACAAGCTTTGGGCAGTTCTGTAGCCAATCTGCCAAGGCCATGTCGCTGTGGGTGAGGTCGATGGCGTTGCGTTGCCGTCCCTTTGAAGCCACTGAGTACTGCTGAGAGAGAACCAGGCCCATAATCTCGCATAGCTTGACGTATTGCATAAAAAACTGCACGTGAATTGGATCCGGAGGGTATTCACTTGAGCGATCGGCTTCGTCCTCGATAAAGTCGTCCTCGGTCAACATCTCCACATCCGAATCGTCCAGATTGATATGGACAGGGCGCCCCAACGCCACGGCAACAGAGCGGTCACGAGTGAACAGTGTCCACCAAATGCGCTTCCACAGCCTCTTGTCTGAACGGCTTAGCTGGGACTGCTCGACGCTGCGATGCATGCCGGATCCTTGGGCGACAATAGTGGCAACACGGCTCCAGTAAAAGACATTTTTGGTCACATCTTCTGGCCCCTCCCAGTACCAACCCATCAGCAGCAATGACTGCACAATGGTAACCCTGTCATCTTCGTAATTGGCATCATACAGGGCTTTCGCTCTTTTGTAGAATGTAAGAGCAGCAGGCGTGGTCGAGCCGTTGGCGTCCATCAGCTGTGGATTAGTGCATACACGCGAGCCGGCCAGCAAGACTGCTTGCAGCAGCAGCAGAGAAGGCGGATTCTTGGGGTCGCGGTACTGCCGCATGAAGCGGGTGCGGTTTATAACGGGGACAATGGGATGAACCCATTTGAAGTACGAGTCGATGAGCTCATCGCATAGGGTTCGTGGTGGCAAAAGAAAGGCACCTCGTTGGTGCAGGATATCGATCTCGACATTGTCGAGCTCCGTCAGCCTGGCTCGGGAGCCTCGCACGTTCTCGGGCAAGGGATAATGAACAACATCAGATGAGCCTTGCCGGTCGTGAACGAGGAGGGCGAGGTTGGACGATTCGCCTAGGTAGGCGACGCGGCCCGCATCGGTGATGGGGGCGCGGGTGAACTTGGGCTTCATGACCAGGTTCACGTAGGTGCCATTATCGACCTCCTCTTTTCTGGCCTGCGACTCAGTGTATGATATGGGCGGGGTGCCATCGGTCGAATGGTAAACTGTCGGAGTACGCGGCGCATAGGTCGTCGGGCCAGTGTTTGCAGTGGGCCTTGGTGAAGGCTCATCGGACAGGGTGGTGGGAGGAGGGATGGAAGGCGTTACTTCACCCTTCTCGCTGTCCGAGTCTCTGTTCCCGCTTGAACTTTGCGGCTTCTTCCTTTTGGGGTTGGGGATGCGACACTCGATCTGGAAGGCCACGCAGTTGGTGCATGGCACACCGAGGCTCGCGGCATCGCATCGAACCTACGGTCCAAGATCAGCCAAGAATGCGAGAAAGCCATCATTGGGAAAATGCAATACCTTTCTCGCATGACAAGTCTAGGCGCATAATCAGTCAGCACACAAATCGAAAAGCAAAAGCGCAACCGGTAGCATTCAGAATCATGTAGTCAAGGCCAGGACTATCGGCCGGGGGTCGCGCTTTTGGGAGGACGTTGATGAAAGCGGGTGCGAATTTCCTGTGAGATAGATGCCTCGGCTCAAACACGCGCGCGCAACCAAGGGCGGGGAAAGGGTGCGAGAGACTCCACGTACCTCGCATGCTCTTGAAGCACGTTGCCTTCACACAGAACAGTCATGGTCAGCTAACGGTCGTCTTTTTACATTGCGGATTCGCCTCGTTCCGCACAACTGTGCGACCGTGACAGCATCTTCCACAGGCGGCGAAGGGGAGGAGGGAGGGGTGTGGGATGCGAACCTCCTAAAGCTCACCTGCGCGGCGGCACTGATGGCCGCGGCACTGTTGGGCGGCTGGTTGGACGTCTCTGATTGCGATGGCGAGTTGGAGCTCGGTGGCTCTGTTTGATTCTGATGCTGTTGCTGCTGTTGCGGGTGCGCCGCCGGGGCGTCCGATGAGGACATGTCGACGTCCATGGATTGTATTGTAGGTCGGTCACTGGGATCTCGCCGTGTCGCTTCCAGTGTGGTTCTCTCTTAGCTGCTGCGTGTCTGGCCTGTTTGCCCTCTGACTCTCACATGCGACGGATGGGTCGGGCGGCCTGCGGGGGTCGATGCGCTCGCACTGGGCGACAGTACAGTGGACGGTATGGGGCCTAGACCGCTTACAACTCAATCGTCAGTCGTGTTGGAACACCCTTGGAGTCAAGGATGGACGAGAATGTACAATGAAATATCCCAGGTATCGGTTACCCTTTGAGATCAGAGATTGTCTGCCTATGTCGATGTCAAGGTCAGATCCTCGTTGATCAGGCTTTCTCTGTATTTCCTCCCATGCCAAGTGTCTGTAGTAGACAGGGTACCTAGGAAGGTAGGCAAGGTAGGTAGATAGGTACCTAGGGTAAGGTCAGGTACGGAGGTCAGCATGGCGGGCATAACCGACTAGGTTGGTAGGCACGAAGGGAGGGGCTTGCCCTGAGGCAGCACCTTAGGGGCTGGGCGATCTGCACAGCCTGCTTTAGGGTGGCCTGGTGTCTTCCGACTTCTCCTGGGAAGAGGCTTGGCCTCTGTCCATTACCAGGTGGTGGGTGCGTGGTCATGCCAAGTGGGGAGGTACTTATTATCTAGTTGCTTTACCTGTAAAACCCAGGTACTTCATCCCACCTCTCTCTGAATGGTACCCATGTTAGTAATCAGGGGGCGCCTAGTGGATAGGTAGGGTATCTACCTAGGTGCCTAGTCAGAGTACACATAGGGGCCTACCTCGTCGTCATAAGGTACCTTACTACGGGAGGTACGTTAGCACAAGGAGGAGTGCCCCCCTCCCACCGGGACCGTACTGGGCACCTAGCACTGTCTAGCTTCAAGCGCCATAGTGTTCATCACTGTCCTGTCCGAAGGACCTACTTACCTACCTACCTAGGTAGGTAATTACCTATCTAACCTACCTAGGTACCTGGGTATGAATAGGTAGACATCAATTAGCACAAGCTCTCTTGATGTCCCATCATCTCGACTAGATCCCAGCGCAAAGCTGATCAATATATATTGCAATTGTTCATCTTCGGTTAAGCCTACAGACGGCTACACATGCAGTACAGATCCTGTGTCTGCCTTGCGTTCCTGTGGTTTCACAAGCTTCAAACTTGAATTGGCCACACAACGTAGAATCCAACACTCTCCCCTGGCCCCCTTTCCGCCCTCGTCGAGACTCTCGCGAGTGACTTTGTAGTCTTACTGCTTCGTGGTCGGCAATCGTGAAACCATGTATTCCGAAATCAAACATCAAGATTGAGCCATGATTGAGAGTATTAGCCTTGAAAACAGCACGCGTGTGCGCATACTGAGCCATACGTAGAAGGTACACTCCATCCCATGCACGTGAGTTCGAGCCTTCACTCCCCGAAGCCTCAGTCACGTCGGTTCTTTGCGTGGTTCCGGCTGGTTCATCAACCTATGGATCAGCGGGTTTCGACATGCTGCTCATGTTGAAGCAAACCAAACGATACAGAACGTCAATGCATAATTATTCCGAACAAACTGTGTCTTTCTAAGGCACCTCACAAGGAGGTGCAAATGCCATTCATGGCTTTGACAGTACCTGGCAGCAGAACACCCATCGCACTGGCACACGGTAGTGTCCTTCAGGTAGGTAGGTACCTGAAGCAAGTCGGTCCAAATGCAGACGAGCCGGAGCCTGCGTGCCTACGACACCTAATATTGAGGATCCTGCTACGGTCACCCGCATCTATTACCCTTTCAGGATTCAGGAACACCCCGGTCCTGTACATAAAACCTGTCACATGCCTACCAAATCTGTGCACAGCCAAGCATGGTGGGACTTTCCCAAGCCTCACCGTATCATCAGCCGACGTGATTGTGTGGTGTGAGGAATTTGGCATGTGCTCCGGTATCCGATCCGTTCTCATTACTCCTCAATCATGCCGCTTAAATCCTCCGTACGTTCCCGTGCCTGGTATTGTTGACATAGCCGGCATGGGCTGATGGATTGGGATTAGTTCCGTGTATCCTCTCGCTGGTCGATCAAACCCTAGTAGCTCATCAAGGGCGTTTGTTGGTGATCTCTCCACCGTTGGCGCCCACCTCTTTCTTTCTTGTGAAAGCCTCGTCGACCAGGTCGTGACCATCCACCTCAATGCCCGCAATGAAACGCCCGCTGACACCTTCCAGTAGCGCTACAAACACACACAACAGACTGGCGATGACGAAATGGCTGATTGTTGAGCCGATCTCTAGCCATGACCCCTCGTCTTTGACAACCCAGAAGAAGTAGAGGGTGAGAATGTCACTAATTCCCATGACCAGCATGAACAATGCTGACGGCGCCACCCCCAACCTCACATTCAGAATGCCAAGGTTGGCGGATATGAGCGCGAAAGGAACCATTAATTTGACAATAAGCAGGATGCCCTGCCAAAGGGGGTCGAATACCGGCATCAACCGATTCACACTTTCCAGGCTGAAAGACGACACGGAAGCTACGTTACCCGTGCTGAAGAATGCCGACTGTAATAGAACGAAGAAGAAGAGAGCCACGCGGGCATCTGGAAGCCTGAGTGGTCGATAATCCTCAACTTTCGATTGAGGTGAGCTGTTCTCTCTGCCTTTCGTCGTACGCAGGCCCCTCTGTCGAAGACGCTCGGAAACATGTGCGTGATGCTCAAGGCTGACCCACGTGACGAGGAGCGTGCTGAAGGCTACATAAAACAATCCCTCATACGAGATTGTCAAGATGACGAAGGTCGGCGCACATGTCAGGAACATTACCATCAGCCGGTGAATGTAGTTGTTGTTAGGCTGTATTCTGTGAGCGAGCGGCATGATCATCGACACCACTGGCACTGAATTAGTAATGGTTCTAGGCACTGGCCATTTCGACATACCCATGACAATCCAGCCTGTGATCTGGTTGCCTAGCGGCAGACCTTGCCGAGCCTGCAGTGAGAGAGAACTAGAGCGTGTGACAATGACTGCCAATAGAACAAGACCGACCTGAACCCCTGTCAATGCCCTAGCTATCGGTAGTTTCGTCGCTGTCCTTTGTATTGTCTGATTTTTTGTCGAGGGTGCGGCAAGAAGTCGATCCTCGAATCCGAGATATGCCAAGCCAATTGCTGCCATTGCAAGGCCTCCAAGTACACTGTGTCATCATCAATAACGAACGCTAGGAATCATTAAACTTTCACGATGTACTTACACAAAGGCTGTGTTCTCGACCTTGTTCGCAGGAAGCAGCGTAAAAATACTCATGACCAGGCACGACATAAACCAAAGTAGGGAAAGCAGGGTGTGCCGCTGTAGAAAGCCGATGCCGTATGTTGCAGGCCAAAGGCTGCCGAGGATGTATAGGCCAGTCAAAACTTCGCGGTGAATGTAGCCCAGGGCCTTATGCTCTCGTTAACATCTTGGCTCTCATTTGAATGGGTATACCACTCACCAGGGACACAATGACGCCAATGTAACCCACTCCATTGAGTAGAAACGAGGCAATGCCGCCACCAGTGGCTATGTGCCCAAACAGAACATGTCGGCCTCGGTCAAGGCTACGACGACGAGCATAAACTTCTTCCCAGAACACAACGGGAAAGAAGGCGTATGCGTAATAAGTGAAAGGAGAACTGGAGATGAAAAAAGATGCATAAAGCACGGCCAGCAAGGACGTGCTAGCGAGCGTTCCCAAGGCTGTTCTCGATGGAGGCTCCGAGCCATTCAACACGTGCAAATCAATGACGCCTGTGAGGGCAAATGCTATCCAGCCCAGGTACCCAAGTGTGATCAAGGTTCGTAGGAAGAGCCAGTCGTAGGTCTGGAGATATCGCAATCCGTCTAAACCGACTTTGATCAAGGCTGCAGACTCTTCAATCGCTTCCTCGTCTCGACCTGCATCGATAAGGTTCTGAATTTCGGCCACGCGCTGTTCAACGCCTTGGTTTGCGCCACTTAGTGGACGAAACGGCCGGTAACGAAGTTCCTGCGTTCGTTTGCGCTCCTCTTTAACGCGGTACATCTCCAGAATCTCGCGCGCGTTGATGAGAGACGCTCGTGCCTTCTCCTTAATACTAGAGGAAAGGTAGGGCAAAGGAAGTTCGCCAACCGAGTTCACCGGGAATTCGGTGCCAATCAGGTGGGCCATCAAGGCCGCAATATCAGCCTGAGACACATCATGACGCTGGACATGATCCATATTCCAGTCTGATGAGTACTCATCATGGCCGGGTGCAGTCGTTCCAGGGTGCAAGCGCGGTGTCGCAATACCCGAACCCCAGGTAATCAATGGCGTCCGCGTGTTGTCAGGGTGACCATCGCCATGGCTTCCCCAGTCGCTCATGCCGTGATCGGCGGTAAAAACGAAGGCCGTTCTCTCATCATCGTAGAAGGCTTGGATCATTTCAGTAATTTCCCTGACGCCTTTGTCGACAACCTTAATATTGTTCAGATACTCTTTCGAGTATGGGCGATATCCATGACCCGAGGTGTCTATACCGAGAAGGTGTAGGAAGAACACGACTTTGTCCTGGCGTAAAGCCGCACTGAGTGTGTCGTTTCTTTGTGCCTCCTTGAAAAAGTCTTTGACATGATCGAACACCCAAAGATCCAGCTCTATGGCATCAGACGAAAAGTCTTCGAACTCATGGCCGTACGTGAAAGAGTCGACACGTCCAGGTACGGCGCCTTGTTGAAACATGGGTAAGATGTCGGGGCTGCCCCAGCTCCAGGTATGCCGACTTCTGTTGAAGACGCTATCGAAATTGACGGGGTTCAATTTCCAGCCAGTTGCGACGGCCGACACATCCTCGTATAGTCCGGCGATGAGAGCAACATGGCCTGGTCGGGACTCGGTAGGTACCCGGGTATGCGAAACCCCGAAACTGCCATGTTCCAAGACGCGGGAGCGTAGAAAGGGGGCGAGGGGGCGAGGGACGAGATCGTCGTCTGTTTTCGGATAGGGATCTGGAAAGGACTGGAAGGCTTTATCGGCACGTAAGCCATCTCCTGTGGCCAAACAGTCAGCGAGACAGACCTCTGGGTCGAGCGAAACCAAACGAACCAACAAATAGGACCAACCGGTCGGCAGGTGCCTTCACATCTGGCGTTTGGCGTACCCCAATGAGTCGCATACCAGAAACGACGGGACTGACAAAGTAGATGTCAAAGATAGAGTATATGTACACCAAGTGGAATACCACGGCGATGGCTAGGAAGCCAACGCGGGAGAAGACGGCCATGGCGAATGGGAAACGAGGCTTGTTAGTTGGATTGGTAGATGCAGAAGCTCGCTCAGAAGGTAGCCATAACCAATGAATGACGAAAAAAATAGTCGACCAAGCCAGAACCAGTGTAATAGGGGAGAAAGAGGGTATCACTGGGTGTATGCGTGACCGTCGGGGGAAGGAGCGATAGGTATAGCCAACAAATGCTGGAAACAAGAACAGCTTTCCCTAGATTTGGTGCCTGCCTCAATGGCGCGCTAGGACACCTTACTGGCAAGTTCAGGGCGTGACACGGCGCGCTGCACCCATTACATTAGCGGGGCCTCCTCAGGGCGTGGGGTCCCGCCACCCGATGATCTAGGTACCTCACCTCCATGAAGTTGGGTACCACGTCGATTTTTGGATAGACACAATGTTGTCTGTCTTGAGTAAATGCCGCAGCTGAACCGTAAGCATAGTTACTGCTTTTCTCCTGTTACTGAATGTTTTGAGCTAGGCGAAAAGGGACATGGGGTTGATTTGCGTTGTCCATCAGGGTGTTGCATGTTGTCGTGTTGTCCCTGACATCGTTGCACCCGGAGGGCCTGTCATCGATGGCACTCCCAGACTTATGGCTGCGTATAGCCTTTCACCCAGGCCGATTTCATTCATATGGAATTTTCCCAGTGTATCAGAGGGCAAAGACATCATAAGTATCGTGTCAGACTACGGAAAGATAATTCCTAAGGGGTATCAACCAGACTCCGTGACAACCAGCTGCTTCCAGTCGACCAATTCCTCCCTCACTATTCTTTCGATTTTGACTGCCAGCACCCTACTCGGGAGGTTCCATTAATGATTTAGAGACTCGAGCGTAAAACTTTGCTGCTTGAGGGCGGGGAAAGGTAATCTCATCCGTCAGGAACTCGGGAAGGAGATTGATAAGCTCTCGATCGCGGCTCTCGTCAAGTTGCGGCATGTACGTGAATTGTGCTTCCTCATAGCTTTCGCTGGCGACCTCGTTTTGTACACATAACTTGAAATGAAGAGCTGCATCGGTTACAGTATGTCAGCTGAATGATCTCACAAGCCTTGCTAGGATATTGCTTACTACCGTTCCTTCCAGTCTGAAGACAGTCAAAGACATCCTCAATCGGCTCGCGTCGGACGTTCCTCACAATGAGGCCCGTCAAGTCAGCATAGAGGTCATCTTTCATTTGTGCCGCTTGAACAGCATCTGGACCAACGACAAGTGCAGCTGAAGAGTGATTGCCCTTTGTGCCACCGCCCGGAACTCTGGCAGTCGATGCATCAACCGTCCTGCTTGCGGATAGTTTTGCAGACAGATTCTTGATTTCTTTTCGAGCTTCGGCCAGCGAGGCGCTCAACTCTACTACTCTTTCCTCTGACTGGTCCAGGCGGGTCTTATCAATCCGACCCTCTCTCGCAAGCCCTCGTTGTATTTCAAGGTCCGCTTGCAGACTGGATATGAGAGCACTAGCGACTTGGCCAAGGTTAGCAATTACTTTGCGCCTACTAGAGGGCCATGCTCACCTCTTGCGCGCTCTTCGCTCTGCTTTTGTAGACGATCAAAATTGCGCTCGGCTTCCTTGACGACAAGCTCCCGAAGATCGCAGTACTTGGCCTCCAAACTGTCGCATTTGTTGTTGAGATCGCCTATGCGGCGTCGCAGTTGTGCGGAGCTTGCCTCGCGACTGGGAGAAGAGGGATACTGCTTGCGAGGGCTCAGAGAGAGGGCCCTGGAGGAATATTGCGCCGGGGACAGTGGAGGCTGTTTGGGAGACTGGTCCATCAATGGGCTTTCGATCTTCTCCTCCAATTTGTTCCCAATATCATCAATAGCCACGGTGGCCATCTGTTGCGTCTCCGGTATCTCTGCCAGCTGAGAAAGCGGCGCATCCTTCTTCGAGGTAGAGGCATTCTTTGCCTTTGGGGGACGGCCTCTTGGCCGACCAAGCACAGGCTTGTTCTCTGTAATCGTAGTGTCGCAACCTGCAGCGTGCACGGATATGTCTCCTTGTGCGGATCTGCCTCTCGTAGTCCTCTCGGCGATGTGGTTTGTACTTTTCTCTAACAAGGCTTCTCGCGCAGCAGTTTCCGCGATCGCTGTTGCCCTCTTACTCGTACGACCAGATGAAGCTTGCGCCGGCTTCGTCACCTTGTTCGCCGCTGGTCTCCCGCGCATCTTCTTGGGTGTAGGCATTTTTTGTTGAGTGGCAGCGGGAACCAAGTCAAAGCCCATGAGACAATCCGATATTTCATCAGTGTCAGAATCTCGCAGAAGATCCAGTATGTTGGACTGGCGTTTCATTTGCGACATCAAGGAGGGGTTGCAACGTGGTGTTATGTTTGTTGAAATCAGGAATCGAGCTCGCGGAGTGAGTGGAGCCGGTGCCCAGCGCATTCATGAACTAGCGCATTCAAAAACAAAAAAATCTCTTGGGAACCGAATCGCTATCGTGAGAGGAGGAGCGAAGGAAGAATATCGAAGAGTTCAATCAGTCATTTGTTGTGATAACATATGATGACGGGAGTTGCCTTTTCGGGAATCATGTCAACACACAAGGTCCCAAGGGCCCCGCTTAGTGCATCAACTGTTTACAATGTGAACTGGTAGCATGGACCTTGACGCGCTTCGGTACCGCCATGTGACAGCCCCACCAAATTGGAGTGCCCATCGCGGATGTGATTCCGCCCGATTGTTAATTCCCGTGACGGAAATCACTTCGCATCGTGTCGTGAACGAATTCAACTCGCAAGTCACATATATGTGCTAAAAGTGTACCACGCGGCTTCCTCGTTACATCGAGCCGGGGAAAGTTGAGCATCTCCCAGCTCCTCCCCATCACCGCTTGTTCTCTTGCATTCGAATGCGTCGTTTTGTCAGACGTTGAAGCTGCGCCAGAAGCGTCAACCTCGGCCAACTACACTCAAGATCTTCTATCGAACACGTGGAAATGGCCGATCGAAGAAAAGGTCTTGGCGACTTTGCCATGGATATTCTTCTCGTCTTTGGCACCGTGAGTTGTAGAGGCTGATTGTCGTCGCGCATGTTTCTGCTGACACGTCAAAGATGGCTGGTGCCATTTACCTAGGTCGGAGCTTCCTATCATCACTCGAAACCACTATGGCCGATCCTGAAAAAGAAAAACATGAAAGAGCAAGAATAAGAGCGCAAGAGCATCTTGAGAGATTAAGGAAAGGAAAGCGCAACGGAGGCGACGATGTCGCAGAGAATCCCGGCGACAATGAAACGCAGCGACGAGGACCGAGGCCTGAAGATCTTGTGCTCAATGAGTACGAGAACATGGTTGCATTGGAGATGGTGGCTCCTGAAGACATACCCGTCGGCTTCAATGGTGAGGACTTAGATGCGCATCACACATCACAAGACGAGGACGTCTGGGCTAATGGTACCTAGACATAGGAGGTCTAGAAGACATCATTGAGGAGGTCAAGGAGTCGGTTATCTATCCTCTGACCATGCCTCACTTGTACGCTCACGCCGCTCCTCTCCTTTCGGCGCCATCTGGTGTGTTATTCTACGGAAGCCCGGGATGCGGCAAGACTATGCTGGCCAAGGCTGTCGCCCGTGAGAGTGGCGCTTCTTTTATCAACCTGCACATATCAACCATGACAGAGAAGTGGTATGGAGATTCGAACAAGATTGTGCGAGCAGTCTTCTCCCTGGCACGCAAGATGCAGCCGGCTATTATTTTTATCGATGAAATCGATGCTGTTCTCGGCACCCGCCGAAGTGGAGAGCACGAGGCGAGCGGCATGGTCAAAGCCGAGTAAGGCCTCCACAACTCTTGCGTGAATGATGCGGTGCTTATCATGTGGCAGGTTTATGACACTCTGGGACGGTCTCACGTCTGCCAATGCGTCCGGGACGCCAGCGCAGATTGTTGTATTGGGCGCGACTAATCGCATGCAGGACATAGATGAAGCCATTCTACGGAGGATGCCGAAAAAGTTCTCCGTGCCGTTGCCCGGCAAAGAACAACGGCAAAGGATCCTTCAGCTCATCCTGCGGGACACCAAGAGGGATGCGGAGCATTTTGATATTGATTACATCGCCAATGTCACGGCCGGTCTGTCTGGGAGCGACATTAAAGAGGCCTGCCGCGACGCTGCCATGGCACCAGTTCGGGAATACATGCGAGAGCACCGTGCCAGTGGTAGGGCAGCGTCCAGTGTCAACCCTGCGCATTTCCGAGGCGTACGCACGGAAGACTTCTTTGGACGGCTCGGCGGGGGTCAAATCCTCATGGAAAATCACTCTAGGGAATCGGCGAAGGCGCACACCTGGCGGCCATCGCCGCAAGAATACGAGGACATGGTGGAAGATGTGGACGGTTCAGAGGAGGGAACACAGAAGCATCGTTGAGAGGAGTTTATGGTCAAGATATGACTGCATCGCTTGTGGTCACAGGGCGGTGTAACAAAAATACAAGCATGGACTGGTGTTGCGAATCAAGTAACCTTCATTCAGTAAATAGGTGGACATGGTACACCAGACCGGGCCGGGACACTTGTCCAGTCATCTGCGCCTGTGATCACGTCATGTCTGGGGCCCAACGTGCCCCACGATTCCGTGCTCCCCGCGCCTCCCACCAGCCAACCAGCATCGCTCACACACTACATGGCCCCAAGCACGCATCGCCTCTGAGTCAATCAGGCAAGAGCCGGTGAGGGACCACTGAACCGAATCCCCATTCTCGGAGCTGCATCGGCGTCACACCTTCCATCTCCCACCTTTACACATCGCACATCACGTCCCCAGTCAACTCTAAGCTATACATACTTGAGCGTCCACCCGAATCACTTCCAATACACTCGGGTACGAGTACGCCGGTGCTGCGAGAACCTATTTGATCTGCTGAGCAGTTCAATTGTCTTGCGGCGACAAGTCTGGCTCGGGAAAACACACGAGACCAGCGGTAGAAAGTACTCCTCGCTCTTGTTATCTTCGACACGCTTGAGCAATTCGAACCGATTCTCTCCTCCTCGCCAATCCGAAAATTTCGCACACAATGGCCGCGCAATCGAGCTTCAGCGGCGGCAACGGCGGACCCTCAAAGCCGAGCGAACTCTCCAAGCGTCTTGACTTGGATGGTCATGATCTGCCCCCTTCACCTGCTCCATCCAGCCCTCGCAACGGTCGTCGCCGTTACGCACTGGCTACAGAGCTTGTGTATACAGAAACCAACGACCAGTATGGCTCCTCCAGCATTCCCATCTATCAGTCGGCCACTTTCAAGCAGTCTTCCGCCCGGGGCGGCAACAGCGAGTATGACTACACTCGGTCTGGCAACCCCACTCGGACCCATCTTGAGCGCCACATGGCTAAGATCATGAATGCCTCACGTGCCCTCGCTGTTGGCTCAGGTATGGGTGCACTGGACGTCATCACCCGCCTTCTCAGGCCCGGCGACGAAGTCATCACCGGCGACGATCTGTACGGTGGAACCAACCGCTTGCTTGCGTACTTATCCTCCAACCAGGGTATTGTGGTGCACCACGTCAATACCACTACTGTCGATGCAGTGCGCGACGTCGTATCGGACAAGACGGCCATGGTGCTCCTCGAGACCCCGACGAACCCTCTGATCAAGGTCATTGACATACCTTCGATCGCGAGGGTGGTACACGAAGTTAATGATAAGGCGCTTGTCGTCGTCGATAACACCATGCTCTCCCCCATGCTATGCAACCCCCTGGATCTTGGCGCCGATATTGTTTACGAGTCCGGCACCAAGTATTTGTCGGGTCATCACGATATCATGGCCGGCATCATTGGTGTCAATGATGCCGCAGTTGCCGACAAATTATACTTCACCATCAACGCCAGTGGTTGTGGATTGTCGCCCAACGACTCCTTCCTATTGATGAGAGGTGTCAAGACCCTGGCTATCCGAATGGAGAAGCAGCAATCAAATGCGCAGCAGATTGCCGAGTTTCTCGAGAATCATGGCTTTCGTGTGCGGTATCCCGGCCTCAAATCTCACCCTCAGTACGATCTGCATTGGTCGATGGCTCGCGGTGCCGGAGCAGTGCTGTCCTTTGAGACAGGCGACGCCTCACTGTCCGAAAGGATTGTGGAAGCTGCTCGCCTGTGGGGTATCAGCGTGAGCTTCGGCTGCGTCAACAGCTTGATCAGTATGCCTTGCCAGATGAGTCACGCGAGCATTGATGCCAAGACCCGCAAAGAGCGACAAATGCCCGAAGACATCATCAGACTCTGTGTCGGAATTGAAGATGTCGAGGATCTCATCGATGATCTGTCACGCGCTGTAAGTTGTTCACTGCAGGCAATTGACCAAGCAATGTAAGCAAGCTAACAGAACCCAGTTGGTCCAGGCCGGAGCCGTTACTGTAACGCTGGAGGGGATCCAAGCAAATCCAGTGGCAGCATAGATGGATCATAGAAATGGCGTTATTACAAAGATCGAATTCCGGGTGCTGTATGAGATTGGACAAGGGACGATTCACTAGCTGGCTTTCCAGGCAGCCAGTGGGAGCTGAAACGGCTTTCGCCAGGTAGCCATTAAAGAGCATCGAGAGAAAAAAATGTTGAATATAGAAGTCGACGCCAGTATGCCATGCCTTCTTTACTCGTGTCGTAAGAATTCAAATTCTAAACTGAAGGCCCACCAAAGCCGATCAGGATCGTGACATGAGTACGCAGGAGTAACAATCTACCATGCCGTCTATCATCGATGATATGCAGGCCTTGCTGGTAGACGTAAATATGATCAGTTCTTACAAAATGTGACAGTTGTATTATCAACGTATAACTATGCAAACAAGCCTCATACACTATTGCTCACCCAACAAATAAGAATCCAACAACTCCTAAAAGATGCGTTTTCTTGGAGAGCAAGAGAACCTCTACGAAAAATCGAAACGATCGGGCAGAATGACAGGGGCTACAAGGGTCCCAGGTATACAAAGCGTAGCAAACCCAAGCGCTGACGATCTTGATCCAGCTCGCAAAGTAGGTGCGTCCAACAGGAGCAAAATCGCCATCCTGCTTCGACTGATCGAAGCTCATCGCAAGTAACGTAGCGATCCAGGCAGTAGCGAGGAAAAAGATGATGTGAAAGACGCTGTAGTTGTACTGCGTCTGCGTTCTCTCGTCATCGCCAGGTGACTTGTTGCCGGCATCGCTCTCGTCGTCAGATAGGAGGGCATCTGCTGGAAGACTCCCTTCTTCAACCTGCGCGACGCAGGGCCTCGGCACGCATCTCGGCGCGAGCGCCAGGCTGCTGGGTAACGAGATCGTGCTCATCATCCTCGGGAAGCCGGATAGCGCCATTGGACCCCATGCCAAGACTCTGAGTGGCAGCGCGCGTAGTAGTATAAGCAACGGTAAGCATCGTAACGATTGCGCCTATGACGATCGATGTTGTCCGGGTTCCCTGGGCCCGGATCAGAGGGTTGCATTGTCTATCATCGGGTTCCATAGACACAGCGGACATGGTCAGATATGTGCAGTACACTGCCACCATCGCTGCTTGAGCGAGACCAGCCTTGGGGTTATACTCCTGTACTGTCGGATTGACGGAGATGAACGAAGTGACGAGCCAGAAAATAAGGTTGATGGTAATGGCAGCCTGGTTCATTGCACAGCCACCCTTGGCGAAGAATATGTACATGACAATAGTCATAGCAAGGGAGGCAACGTACATGCCCAGAGTTGAACCGATAAGGACAGTTCTCCAGACCTTTGATTCGGTGTTTTCGATTTGCTCAAGGCAGTATTCAGCCCAGTTGTGCGCGAGGGTCGACAAGTAGAATCAAGCCGAGTATGAGAAATAGCATGGCAGCAAACAGTGCGATGTAATTGCCCCAGACCTGAAAGAATTCATCAGGAATGAGGAACGAGAGAACAATGAGAGCCAGCCATGCGATGACTTTAGGGCCCCAGTATCCGTTTTGTAGAAGCAGCCGCGTGGGTTCTTTGGAGGATGTGATGTTGAAGAGCAGGCCCGGCAAAGATGAGAATGGAAAGAGACCGAGAGCGAAATTGATGCCGGTGCATGGCTAGCCAACCATAACCATTGGCCCGGTGGGACAGTCGATTTTAACATAGTCGAGTGTGAGGTGTTCGAGTTTCTTGATGGCCCAAGGCGTGAGCATGATCCACGAGAGAATCGAGTTGACTAAGAGGAGGAGAGCGTAGGCGATGCGGGTGGCGACGCTGAATGAGAAGGGTAATCAGTGTACGTTGCGCATTGGAGAGAGCGTGTTGGAGGCATACCTGTTGCCACATTTACCGCACGCGCTGCACACAGCAGAGCATGTCGCGGCGCCGCAACAGCTAGCAGCGAAAGTGACAACCTATGCCATGTTAGAGGGCGGAGGCGTCCCGAGGTAACAACGACATACCGAGCCTATGCTGGGCACCGCCATCAGCGGCAAAGAGAGCAAAGCCCCCATGACCAAGAGTCGTTGCTAGCCCCCCACAACACAATAAGGGGGGGGGTGAAAATGTGTTAGAAATGTATGGGACAATGTATGTTGGTGTATCAGACAGGAAGCCTCGAAGTCGCGACTGAAGGACGCAGTCAAAAGAGTCACGACAGCTGGGCCGCTCGACACAACTCGTTGATCACTGGGTATCCTTCCATGTGGATTCTGGGGGGGTACGACTCCCGATCCCCATTCGTTGTTACCAGGATTAAGAACTCCCACGTGACTCTAGGATGTCTTACCTCACCTTCGTCAATGCGGCATGACACAGACAAGTAGGTACGTCAGCTGCCGTCCTCTCACTCAGCCGACTACGGCAGATGCGACAGTTGGACCTTGCACTGGCTCCGCAGCCGGAGCGAGATAACAGCAACCCCGAGGGATGCGCGTTATCTCTTCCCGTGCTGTCTTCATTGTGGCCGACTACAGGTCATCATCGCAGGCCGAGCTAATGCCAAACTCGAACGCCAGTAGCTCTTGTCTCTCGCAGGTCGACAAGACAACATTTACAGATGACTACGTTGCGAATTCGCGACGACTTTCAATCTCGTTCTTCCGGCCCGGCTAATTGGATGATGTCCTGAACGAGCCGACCTGGCACCTTCCATCACGATAGTTCGACCCGCACTTCGCTTCACCAACACCATGACGAACAACTCAAAGCATGCGCAGCTCAATCAAGCTCGCATAGTCGCTAGCATCGCAGCGACGGTTATTTCTCTTGCATGCGGTACCAATGTGAGCGCTCAATACCCGGAACTCTTGCCCGTTCTATCCTATCTTCGAGCTAACCTTCACCTTCTCTCAGTACGTCTATTCAGCATGGGCTCCCCAATTCGCCGACCGGCTCAAATTATCGTCTACGCAAAGTAATTTGATAGGTCTTTCTGGAAACTTGGGAATGTACTCTCTCGGCGTACCCATAGGCATCTTCGTCGATACCAAAGGCCCACGCCCTGCGGTCATCGCCGGCGCTATACTACTGGCATCAGGCTATTTTCCATTGCACCAGGCTTTCGATCATGCAGCTGGTTCTGTTCCCCTGCTTTGCTTTTTCTCGTATCTCACGGGTCTCGGAGGCTGCATGGCCTTCGCCGCGGCTGTCAAGACGTCTGCCCTCAACTGGCCACATCACCGTGGCACCGCAACAGCATTTCCTCTGGCCGCCTTTGGCCTCAGTGCGTTCTTCTTCTCCTTATTTGGGAGTGTTTTCTTCCCCGGAAACACAAGTGCTTTTTTAGCCACCCTCGCTATTGGTACATTTGGTTTACCGTTTGTCGGTTTCTTCTTCCTTCGCGTGCTACCTCCTACCGGATACCGCCCAGTCGCACGTCCAGATCCTCTACTGGGCTCTCAAGAGCTTTACAGGACCGAATCTGAAGAGGCAAAGCACCAAGCCACGCACCACGCACAAAATACTTCTCGTTTCGAACCCGGTACGTCACCTAGCACAAGTAGCCCTAGCGGCACAGTCGATCTGTTTCATGGTGGGAGTGTCCGAGGTACCGAAGCTACTCATGGGCACGATGAAGAACATGGCCTGCCTGACTCAACTGACGGCCCCGAACCTGATGAGACTTCTTCATTGGTATCGAGTGCATCATCAATGCCCGGAGACGTTGTTGTGCAGAGCAGTGTTGATTTGGATCGTTCTCATCGTATAGATATTCGTGGTTGGCAGTTATTGCGCATGATCGACTTTTGGCAATTATTCTGTGTCATGGGTATTCTCACCGGGATTGGTCTGATGACCATCAAGTATGTTCCCCTGATACAGCAGCTCAGTTGGCCACCACTTTTCCCAATATAGCTGACAAATTCCACAGTAACATTGGCCATACTGTTAATGCCCTGTGGCGCCACTGGGATGACACCGTCGACGAAAATTTTCTTATTACTCACCAACAGCTGCATGTCTCCATATTGTCGATCTGCAGCTTTACGGGACGGCTTCTTAGCGGTGAGTTGCATAAATTCCATGACCAATGATGGCCCTTGAGCTCATACTTGTAGGCGTCGGTTCCGACATCATTGTCAAGGTGCTCCGTGGCAGCCGCGTCTGGTGTCTCGTCATATCCAGTCTGATCTTCTCCATGGCACAAATTTGCGCATTGAGCATAGAGAATCCGCATTTACTGGGTTTTGTATCCGGTCTATCTGGCCTCGCGTACGGCATCCTGTTCGGTGTCTTCCCTTCAATCGTCGCTGAGACCTTTGGCATTCATGGGCTCAGTCAAAATTGGGGTCTAATGACGCTTTCGCCCGTCATCTCGGGCAATGTCTTCAACCTCTTTTATGGGTCTGTTTTTGATCAACACAGTGTAATTGGTCCTGGCGGAGAGCGTATTTGTCATGACGGCCGTGGGTGTTACCAAGCCGCCTACTTGGTCACACTGGGTGCCTGCGCATTAGGAACTGTTACCACGCTGTGGGTCATTCGCCATCAACATGTCACCTGGGCCAAAGAGGACAAGGGGGAGCAGGAGGACTGAGTGTGTTTTCCTTCCAGACCTGTACATATATGTGGACGTAAATAGACGGCATCGACATGAATCTACACACACGATCAACCGGATTTGTTGACGCGTTGTATTGGTCCTGCTCCTTCCCAGATCCACCCACCGGGCTCCTTTCCTCTCACTCTATCCGTTTTCGTAACAAGTGCTTCATTATTGCGCAGTCGTGTAGAGAACTGGCAAGTACCTCCTCTGAAACTCAGTGTGACGCACTAATCACTGCAAATCCGACAGCACCTTGCTCATGGCTGTCCCTCCTGCTCGTCGCTATGTATGATCCTTTGAAGTGAAATGCACGAATACTCCGAACTAATGCCTGTTACCCTTGTAAACCATCCAGCGCCGCCGTTGTTCCTGCAAGTATTATCTCTGAGTTATCTGTACAATCAGAATAGAGCTCGCAAGGCAATACATTCCATGACCCGAGAACCGAAATGATAGCGCAAAAGAAAGAGAGAAAGCAAAAGAACCAAATTACAACAGCGAGTCGTGCCCTTGCAGGACTCTGTCCATAGCCAGACAGGCGTACTGAGTGACCTCTTGCAGCCCATAAATAACAAATGCAAAGAATTTGTCCGCCGCTTGTTGACATGAATACCGAGTGCTATTTTATGGACTCTTGCTGCCTTTTGCATCGAATGATTCGCGAATGTCAAACAACGAGTTCACTCCAGTGAGGGACCAACCATCCGATGTCGAATGAATGACGACCAACCAAACAGCAACAAGATTGACCAGATAATGCAGCATGTATGCATATGATATGCCGTAAATGGCGGCATAAATAGCTGTGCTAAACAGGAAGATACTTGTTAAGTGCTTTGTCCTGCCAGCTAACCGAGGCACCATTTTGCCGGCTGTCAAGTTCTCGACCAGGAGAATGAAAGGCATAATCGAAAGAACGTTGTGGTGCGAAGAGAAAGGGGTGAGCCAATGAATTGCGAGGTTGCGTATCCAAACGGCAAGTATGGGTAAATTGATCGGTAGCACCCATAGCATGAGAAGCAGGATCGAATGGGCGTAATTGTAGAAATCATGGCTTGCGGTAGACCCGATTTCATTAGTGATTCGGAGAGCGCGGACCGTGTGATAGTTGAACCAGGCACGCGACCAGCAAGGCAAATTGGTTGGGTATGAAGGTCGACACCAAGAAGAGAAGCGAGCAGTCGTATTCCTCCCTCCCCTACGAGATGATGGACCAAAATGCTGACGTCGACGCTCGACGACGCCCATCCTGTCTTTACAAAAGTGGGCGTGCCATGTGTGCCCATAAAGTAATCTGAGTACGTGTGTCAGAGCAACTGTGGCGAGGTGTATAGCCACACACACACCAATGCATACAACACCGATAAGAGGCACTAGGAACCAAAAAAAGGAGTCCCGCGTGCCAGTCAATAGGTCATTGCTGTGGAAGTCGGTTGTGGGAGCATTTGCATCCCAGGAGTCCCACAATATGCCTGTGGTGGACGTCTCGGATCCTCTCAATGATAAGGAGAGGAGTGTAAGCGAGAGCAAAACTAATGGCAAAGATTGCTTCAGACAGCTGTCAAGGCTATCTGAGAAGGAGATAAACACGCCGGTGGAGTCATAGACCCGAAATTGCTTCCGAAGCACGAGAGACACTATAAGGAGTGGGAAAGCAGCAAAGACGGTTCGATATCGAATGACAAGCTTTCCCAAGCTGCCCAAGATGTCCACAGTAAGCCGAATCTCAAGGCTAGACTCGCAGGTTGGGTCAGTCCAGATTTGAAGGCTAAGGCCTTGGTCATTGGCGCGAGATGGTGTTAAGGGAGGCGGCAAAAAAGGTGCAGCGCCATGCATGCTCAAGTCTACTCTTCGCGCGTTGACGTAGAATCTTGACTCGTGAGGGTGGGCAAGATATTGTCTGATCATTGGCGAAAACAGAAGCTGCTTGCTACTGCACGCTGGACTGTGGATTTCGAGATGAAGGGCGACAAGGCTCGACTTGAGATTTGGGAATTTGACCTCAGTAGTCATCGGGCGATCTCCAGGCAGAGTCATTGTCAGGCCAAGGGCTGCCAGTCGCCCGGCGCCCACGGTTTGTATTCTTTTGGCTTGAGTTTCGCTGCTGAAGTCGGCCACAACAAATGCACTGGTGGGTTTGGCGGCTTTGTCAATGACAGCAACATAGAGGTACTCAGCAATGTCCTCCATGTCATACTGTAGAAAGATAAATGGCAGATGCCCTTGGCCAGTCTTGGACACAAATGGCTGAGCCGTGAGATCGGTGGATGCTGGCAGAAGTATTTGGTCGGCTGCCGCATTCTTGCACAACAATTTGACAGCGTCAACCTGATCGCTCAACGGTCCAAGCTTTAGGTGTACAAGCTCCGAGCTTTGAAGGGACTGGTGGCCAGCGGGGCTGCAAAATAGTACCTCAAGATGACCATGCTCGCTGGGGGAGTCCAGAGGACTGTTCGTGAGCAGGTTGAATTGCATGCCATTTGATAGTCGGTCAGATGGTATGCGAAGCAAGTGAGCCTCTAATTCCGGCTTTCCACCCAAGTCTCGGAGTACCAACTGCTCTCCATGTGCTGCGCTGGCGAGGAAATCGTCTCCAACGGTAAGAAGCGTCGTGGGTTCATTGTTAGACAGTGCCTTCTCTGCAGACATTTCCATGCCGGTCAGGAAGCGTTTCTTGAACATTCGCATCCTCTCAGCTCTCGGCTTAGTCTGTGATGGCCGACGAGCATCGATAACGTCAAAGATCGCACGCGTGAGAACTTTTCTGAACTGATCGCACCAGAGAATAGCTTGGTGATCCATGCTGGTCCAAACAGTAGGTATTCCAGTGGTGAAGACGGTGAAGCCATTCGTTTCCGGGACAAGAGATTCAATGTTGGCGTAATCGGAAGGTACGACGGTGTCCAAGCCGCCGCCAGCAATAGACACAAGGGTTACGTGCCATAGGGGGTTATCGTTTGCCCATTTTTGGGCGTAGGCTTGCCGCCAGTAATTATTGATGTCGTTGTAGATGCTGACTATTTGGCCATCGAAAGTAACCGGAGCGCGTGCGTGTGGAGCAGACATGGTGATGATGGTGTTGATTGAGTTGGACTGATAATTGGGCATGGTAAGCATGGTACGAGCAACTATGCCCCCCATAGAATGCCCAAGTATCAAGACCGAGGTCGGCTCGGGCAAGTCAACGCCCCTCGAGGTCATCCTAGGATCCTGGTAAAGCGCCAAAATGAACCGTATGGCTTCATTCAAGTAATCAGCCTGATCGAGCATAGTCTGGCCGTGGAAGGCCGTGATGTCTTCGTTGAAATCGACTGTAAAGAAATCCAATGGGCGCACGCCTCTGGCCGTCGTGTCTGGATCTTGTTGCAAAGCATCGTGGAAGTAATTGGCTGCCTCAGCGGCAACAGGTCGAACCTGCTTATAGCTACCGGCATTGCCGGGTATGAAAAGAACGGGTGCGCCTCGAAGCTAAGAAACATATAATGATCAGACTGCAAGAACGAAAGTGAAATGCGACAAGGCTGGCCTGGAATAGGAATTACCTTGTTGTTTGTGTCTATGCCCTGCTCCCGATAGAGGTACAACGAGTACTTCGTCGCGAAATGGGTATGTTCTGTATCGAATTCATGCAGACGTACATATGAAGGCCGCATATATGACATGCGACAACCCTTTTCCTCCACCTGGCGTGACCAGGAGGAGTCCACGATAGCGTATAGTAGAGTGATGCCCAGCACAGCAGTCATGAACGCCATCAGGGTAACGGAGAAGGGGCTGCGAAGTGCCGCTCGATATTCATGTTGTTGTGAAGGGTCATGCTTGCCATCCGTAGACGCAGCGTCGTGTCTCGCGGCTTCTGCGCGTTTGCCGCCAGGAGGGCGATCCGGCGAGGTTGAAGTGAGTGAGGGCGGCTGATGCGTTGAGATGGATTGCGTCTGGTCGGAGCTGTCGACCGCCGGCTGTGATGTATCCGACTTCCAATTGAAGCTCGCAGATCGCCGGGCGCCAGTCGGTAAGGGAGTGGCAGTGTCATCTTGCTCCTTCGAGCGTGGACTTGCGTCGGGACCGGGCTGGGCATGGTGCTCGAAGTCGGATCGTGGCCGATTGAGGAGCCAGGCTTCTTCGACTACCAGTGGCTTGTGGGACGGTTCGACGCTGTCCTCGCTGGACGCGGATGAGCGCCCCTTCATCGGGCCGGTAACTCTCACTGCGCTATGCCCTTGCAAGCAGAGGCCTACTATGGTGTCGGACGAAAGGTGTTGGCGATTGTTGGGAGGTATGCCGACAGCTCTTTGCTTCGGCAAGAAGGGGCCAGAAGCTTGGAAAGCCTCCTGGCAAAGGAGATAGGTAGTTAGAAAGTTCCACCGTAGACGCATAAGCTTATACATGCAACAGCTTAGGCAGGTAGGTATTCCACTGTAGTAGCTACCACAATCCAGGTACCCCGGCAAATGATGTGCCAGTGCATGCACTTCTGAGGTACCTTGGTGCACAGGCCCGTGTTTTTTCGAAGTCGTGGGGTCCACGGTGGCTCTGAGTGTTGGCAGGGGCCAGAGGCTGGATCCTCACAATCTTGGCTGCTAGTGCAGGACTTATTCCTCGCAAGTGAAACAGCTACTACGGTACTCCTTTACTGGTCGGCACTGCCAAACGGAGAGCGACTCCGAAACGGTACCAACCTCCATGTACCACTCGCGTCTGTGTGCCTGGTGCCAGGATGGATCGTAGCTACTCACGCGCTGCTCATGTTGTGCTCCACGAGTTTCCTCCCACTATCCACGAGGGATGGTGCCAACACGTTCAATACCACGCTGTCTTATATCAATTTATGTCCTGAACACTCATCATTTACCTCATTTGCCCCTTTCGCGCAGTCCGAAGTGTAGCAGAGGTGGTCTCCCAGCAAACGGTCAGGCCTCTGTCCAAGTGAGTGTGAGCCCCAACTGTAGCTCCAGTGCCGCAGACGCCGCTTGCCATGGCTGCCATTAAGGCCATCGAAGCCAATACTGTAAGAAATGAAGTTCCTTACATACAAGTACATCACCAAGGGAGCCTTCGCTGACCGTACCTCCAGGTTCATCGGATCCAATCTGGGCAGGTCATTGTCGATCTGTGTTCTGTGGTCAAGGAGCTTGTCGAGAACAGCCTTGATGCTAATGCTACGGCCATAGGTACGTGACGCCAAGCAATTATCTCCAACCCGATTTCTATGACAATTTCATTCCTCACACCTTTACTCATCTTGCCATCCTTCAGACGTGCGCTTCAAGAATCAAGGACTAGAAGCCATTGAGGTTCACGACAATGGATCTGGCATTTCGCCTGATAACTACGAAGGATTAGCCTTGAAGCACCATACATCCAAACTGGCGACCTTCTCTGATCTCAACACTCTGTCCACATTTGGCTTCCGTGGCGAGGCTTTGTCGTCGCTTTGCGCCTTGTCTCACTTCTGTCGTCACCTGCCTCGCCAATGACGCTCCCAGAGCGACCAAGCTAGAGTTCGAGCCATCTGGCAGGCTCAAGAGCACTACCGTCGTCGCTGGGCAGAAGGGCACAGTGGTAATGGTCAATAGCCTGTTCCACAACCTCCCTGTCCGGCGACGTGAACTTGAACGTAACATCAAGCGAGAGTGGAATAAGGTCATCACGCTTCTCAACCAGTACGCCTGCATACAGACTGGTTTGAAGTTTACCATTTCCCAGCAACCTAACAAGGGGAAACGCATGATTCTCTTCTCTACCAAGGGAAACACCACCGTCCGAGACAATATCATCAACATCTTCGGTGCCAAGACCACAGCTGTTTTGACGAGGCTCGACGTTGAACTTCAGTTTGAGCCATCAGCAGAATCAGGCTTTACTTCAGCAAAACAGCCTAATCAAAGCGCTTCCCCTGTTCAGGTCAAAGGATTCGTCAGCCGACCCGCGCATGGCGAAGGCCGTCAAACTCCAGATCGTCAAATGTTCTTCGTCAACGGACGACCTTGCAGTCTCCCTCAGTTTGCAAAGGTGTTCAATGACGTGTACAGGTCGTATAATTCATCACAATCACCCTTTATCCTCGCCAATATACAACTCGACACACATCTTTACGATGTGAATGTTAGCCCAGACAAACGCACTATTCTTATGCATGAGCAAAATCGCATGTTGGATTCTCTACGCGAAGCTCTCACATCCCTCTTCGAGTCCCAGGACTATTCCATCCCCTTGTCATACATGGCACCATCCAAGCCCGGACCATCCGTGGCCTCTTCACCACAATCCAACCCCGACAAGCAGTCGCAATTGCGTCGGGTGACTTCAGACACGAGCAACGACGATGGATGTCGGTCCACGGTGCCAGGGGCAGAGACAAAATACGCAGAAAATGCATCTGATAACCAAGTTTGTTTGACCCGGAAAGCTCAGCCGGTGACTGCTCAAGTACCTGAGTCTCCAGCCCAAGCTCTCATGAACCGCTGGATCGCCAAGCAATCGAACAACACGAGTCACGGAATTTATTCGGGGGCCAGTGAACCCAATAGCAGTTCTTCAGAAGCACAACACCGAGAATCACGGGCCAAGCCAATGCTATCCGTCAATCGTAAGGGTGTACAAAGTGAACCGTCGCATCAAGTTCTATCAAGGCCAGAGACCAGTATGACGAACCTCAGGATCACAGAAAACCTAACAGACTCTACGGATTTTGTGTGCTCGGATCATGACCCAAAGTTGTCCACTTCGAAGACGGTGGCTGTGAGCCCTACAAGCACACCACGAATTCAACGCAAGTCAGGCAGCCCTGTGATGGTGCCACTATCTCCCGAGGCGCCTGCTGGAGTTGCTAGCGCACATATAAGTGCTAAGGGACACTCTCACGAAGCAGCATCACATCGAGAACCCAGTCTGCCATCGTCTCCGACAGACGCATTACGCCCGGACGATAATCAATTGAGGAGCTATATAGCCTTCAGTGGCTGCCAGAAGCCAACGGTATCTCACGCCCAAAGCACCGCAACAGAAGTTGGGGGAAACAACCAACATCTCCAGCATGCCACTCTTAGAAACGATGAAGACCTTGAGGTGGTCCCTGCTCCCCCGTCTAAAAAAAAACGGCATCCGAATATGGCCGATTCAGACTCTGACCACCGAGTCCTCGTTGAATCAGGCTCGGACAGCGTTGATGATCACCGCGATGCTGTAGCGAAAACTCGTCGACAGCGCTAGTCATGATACAGATGAAGAGCTTCATCTTCATGTCGGGATGATCAGAGCAGTGCCGACTCGGAACCTCGTGACAAGATAATAGGAGCAGGCCAGGTGTTTGATGCGTTATCTTTGATCTCTAAGCGCAAGGATGTAACATTGCGATATGAGCAAACTGTCAAAACTGATAAAGCGGTTCTTCTTCCTGGTCTGAGGAAGAAGCAAGTGAGAGCAAGGGGCTTTCCGGCAGTCCACCCTCCGCCGCCGTTAAGGCCGGCCTGGAAGCCGAAAACGCGGAGGATAGCTCTCGCTCATCATCTCCAAATCAGATTTCGATGACATGTATAGTAGTCGGCCAGTTCAACCTAGGGTTTATACTTGCTGTCAGGCATGCGAGTGGCAGTGCAGATGGTGAGCATGAGAAAAGCCATGACAGCTTGTTTATCATCGATCAACATGCATCAGATGAGAAGTACAATTTCGAAAGGCTCCAGTCATGCACTACCGTACAGTCACAACACCTAGTTCAGCCCAAACAGCTCGAGCTTACTGCTCTTGAAGAGGAGATAGTAAGGGAAAACATATCGGCTTTGGAGGTCAATGGCTTCAAGGTACGCATCGACGACTCGGGATCGCAGCCAGTGGGATTACGATGCGAACTCGTAGCTCTGCCCTTGAGTCGTGAGACGACATTTACATTAGCGGACCTCGAGGAACTCATATCATTATTGGGTGACCATGACCTGACGGGCACCAGCCCTGCGCCTCGGCCCTCCAAAGTGCGGAAGATGTTTGCCATGCGAGCATGCCGGAGCAGCATCATGGTGGGCAAAGCGTTGACGCATCGACAGATGGAAAGGTTGGTAAGACATATGGGAGAACTGGACAAGCCTTGGAATTGCCCTCATGGCCGACCGACAATGCGACACATCTATGAGCTCGCCTCCTGGGATGAACATTCCTGGGTTCGGGATATGGGTCAGCGAAATACAGCGCAAGAAAAGGTCGCCTGGGCTTCGTATGCACGCACTGAGACATAGTTTCAACGACTAGCCAGGTCGCGAACGTTCACGGAATATGGAAAGTAGCCAGGCGCAGATTTCACTCAAGTTTTATATGCCTTTGAGTCACATAATCGCAGCATCGAGAAAGGTTGAGCATGTAGTAGCCAATGACTTGATTTCAGACCCTTCAACTCCGTATCCAACCCACCGACCCGTAAATTGTTTCCTTGCCGCACACAACATGTGTTTGACTCTGTATGCAAAGAGTTCAACTGTCTATTTGTTCAAAATGCTGAAGCGTGAATGGGAGGGAGGAAGTGTTGCGCGGCCTTCTTCTGCTATTTTGCCGCTGACATTACGTCGACTGAACGCTCCCACGGGTTGGCCGTCATAGTCATTCCCTGATGACACCTGGCGATTGCTTCCAATTATGATTGGGGGTGTCGCCGGTTTGAGCTGGCCATATGGTTTGGCGAAAAAGTCGGACTCTCGTTGAATCGAGCCTGTTCTGTGGGGTGGTGGCACAGGCGCAGTGTTCAGAGCATGCTTTTCATCAGCAATATCGTGACTGCCACTGAAGGACCGCGGATATGACTTTCTCTCGGGCGACGCAGAGCCATGCAGTGAGTTGTATGGTGCCACTAGTCTGTTCCATGGTGCAGGGGGGTTAGAGCGAAGCGGTTGGGGATGAAGGCTTCCAACATCGCCGTCACCACTTTGGTGGCCAACGCGATAATTGTCGCCATGCTCAGAGTCCGAGTCGTCTCCGTCGGGAACATCGTATCGCTTGTCAAGTGCGTCGTACGTCTTCTGGTAGCTCTCGCGGTTTCGCGCAGCGGCATTCATCAGCTGATTCCGGTGCTGTGTACGGGAGATCAGAGAGTCACTCGCACTCCACGTCTCGGTAAATTTTGCCACTCGCTGTTGCCCTGCGTGGGGACTAGCGGGAGCGTTGAGATCAACATTGGTAAGAGAACGAGCTGTCTCGCTTTCTTCAAGCGGAACCTGGGAATAGTAGCCCTGATGCATTGACGGCGGCTTTGACAACCTTCGTGTGTCTGTAGAGATGAATGAGTTGCGTGGTGACGAGTTGCTAGGAACGATCTGATACTGCCTCGAGGGAAAATCGGCGATCGAGTTCCTATTACTTGAGGAGCTTCCAGAATCGGCCCTGGTTCGGAGGAAGGGGATTGTTGGGGGTCGTGAAATGTCCTCATAGGGAAGACCTGAACGGCGACGGTCCTCGAGTGGCGTTGAGAGTCGCCTCTCGCTTTCAGTGGTGCTGGTGGTGGCAATGCTTGACTTGTTCCGGGTGTGCTTTGCCCGCGAGGTAAATCGGTCTTCGAGTGGGTTGAGGTCAGGGGGCATGCTTGCGATTCGGCGAAAGACAAGGCCCAGCCAAACGGAGATGCTCAGAGACACCAGATGAAGGGCACCGGCACCGAGGAACGTATACCCTACAGCAGGGACAAAGTAGTCAACAAGGCTAGCATCAGACAGGCGTGTCGTCCATGACGATCCATGGTTCCGGACGCTAAGTGCGCCGAACACATAACCAGGAACAATGCAGATGTCCGACACTGCAGCGAAGATCTGGTAAGCGGCCGAGGAGGCTGGAGTGCGACTGCTTGCAGGGCGTGACAGGTGGTAAATAGCGTAGGCGCAATGCAGCGAAACAACGCCGGGCTAGAAAGGTAAGCGGTTGCGCGCAAAGGTTTTAATTTGACGTGACAAGCAGTATGGCCCGTGACGTGTCGTCAGGAATGGGAATGAAGACTTACAGCAATCCGCAATACCCAGCCCACCACGACAGGGATGCCGGTGAGCAAAACAAGCAGGGTCAACAGCCCAGCGGCGCCAATGAATTGAAAAACTCTCAAGATCAACTGGAATACACGGAGACCTTTGATCCAGCCTTTCATTCTCGGGCTCAACGCGAGGTAGGTGGTGGACCGATGAGACAACACCATATGTGCGCTTTTAATCAGGGTAACAACCCATTAGCATTGAGCACCGGTAAAACAATCGGCCGCGGACAGAGGCGAGGTTCTCTTACTCGGGATGTCGATTAAAGGATATGAGAGGCCCATCGTGCTTCTTCGGCTTCGGTGCTTTGGGAGTGTAGCTGGCGCGGGTGACAGCCTTGGGATCGAAGGACTTCTCAGGCAGGCTACTCCCGCGACTCCCCATGGCTTCGTAGAGAAAAGGTTGCTGGACACCCATACTGGAATGTGCTAGGGTGGGACAATCGGAGGGTGCGTGTAGCTGGAATGTACTGCGGGAGAGTCGTCGGGGCCCAGTCGGAATGACAACTTGATGTCCCTTGCGGGGGTGGTTGGGAAAGCGGCGATAGGTTTGAATTGGAGCCAAATGGGGGTATCGAGTGAGATGAGCACAAAAGTCGACTCAATGCAGCAGTACTGAGGGCCAGCAAGTTACAATGAGCTCTCTGACGTTCTTGTTTGAACAGCATAATACAGTCAGGCGAGGCGGATTGACGCCGTCCATTCACTATTTTGCTGTCGCGAGCTGAACGCCGTTTCTACGGCAACGGCGCTTGGGTGGTAAGTAAGCTTATCTTATCAACCCGTATGTTCCTCCAACCTCAGGCAGACATATGACTGACCACTGTCTAGCTCGTCCAGAAAACATATGTGGCTCGAGCTCACCTGGCCCACGTTGTTGTTCATGGATTGCCTGAGACAGGTAGGTAGTCAGCTAAAGGCCGAAAGTGACCGGCGCTTTCGGCGCCGAGATAAAATCGTGATATTCGTAGATCCCTGGCACTGAGGACACTAAGCGACGCAGAAATGTGAATGGACTTGCAACTTTGAAAACCTGGCTGTTCGACATCTCCTTGTTCTCAATGGTTCGCGGAAGCATTTAACGGCGGTTCGGCTTAATGCTAACTCTTGGTATGCTTTACTACGCTGCATGAGTAAGTAGGTCTGTTGACTCCAGCGTAGGCTGCCACCATCGGTTGGTCTTACATCCAATACTACTAGTCACGCTGCAACCAACTCGCCGATTCTTCGTCCACGATGGGTTTACTCGCACTCACCGCGGGGACCAGGACTTCATGCGCCAGAGTCTCGTCGTTTCTGAAGCGCACAACCCTCCACCCCCAACCACATTTGACACGTCATGCAAGCACACAGTCAAGCGGCAGAACAGCTCCGCGTAGGCCAGACAAATCCTTTCGCATGGCCATTGTGGGATCTGGCCCTGCTGGATTTTATACCGCCTACAGAGTCATGTCTCGATTGCCCCAAGCCCGAGTCGACATGTACGAGTCTCTGCCAGTCCCCTATGGGCTCGTTAGGTTTGGCGTGGCGCCTGACCATCCAGAGGTGAAGGTATAAGCAATATGATTCCCATTATGCTTATTGTGCGCCGCTCACACAACACAGAATTGCCAGGGCAAGTTCGAAGAGATAGCTAGCTCCCCAAACTTTACCTTCGTCGGCAACGTCTCCGTAGGCGATGCGACTCACCAGCCGCACAGTCAAACTGTCCAACTGCCTACTTTGCTCCGTAACTATGATGCTATCTTGTTCTCATACGGCGCCATCAAGGACAGGGCACTAAATATACCCGGTGAGTCATCTCTTGCCGGTATATACTCGGCACGGCAGTTTGTTGGATGGTATAATGGGCTTCCCGAATCGGCTGGCCTCGCCCCAAATCTCGCCACAAGCGATGAAGCCGTCGTGATCGGCCAGGGGAACGTTGCTCTTGACGTTGCAAGAATCCTTCTAGAAGACGTTGATGTTCTGCGAAAGACGGACATTACCGATGAGGCTTTGGCCACACTAGCCACTTCTCGAATACGTCGGGTGCACGTTGTAGGAAGGCGCGGGCCAATGCAGGTAGGTCGAAACTTGCGAATGAAACAATACTCCCACATAGCTCACTGATGATTGTGAAAGGCTGCCTTTACTATTAAAGAGGCTCGGGAGTTGATGAAGATACCTGGTGTCGCATTTCACCCTGTGGAACCGTCTCTGATCCCCCCTGATCTCAAATCGCTTCCCAGGGCTACGAAACGCCTGATGGAACTGGTGGCCAAGGGGTCACAGGCACAAGTGTCGACCGCGCCCAGGTCATGGTCCTTGGACTTCTGCCTTTCACCGACCGAGTTTGTTGCCAGCGATGTCTCGCCTCACTTTGTCGGCAGCACAGTGCTCGAACGCACAGAGCTCACCTCCAAGTTCGATCCAAACGCCCAGGCGCAGCTGAAGGGCGAAAAGATCATTTTACCGTCATCCCTTGTCTTTCGCTCCATCGGATACAAATCAGCGCCGCTCCCGGGTTTTCAAGAGGCAGGTGTGTTGTTTGATGAGCGGCGCGGCGTCATCATGAATGATGGGCAAGGACGTGTTCTTCGAAGAACGTCGACTGAGCTTGAGACCGATATCATGTCAGAACATTCTCCTGGCCTTTACTGCGCTGGCTGGGTCAAGCGTGGGCCCACGGGAGTCATTGCAACCACCATGCAAGACGCTTTCGATACAGGCGACTCGATCGTACGAGATTGGCTCTCGGGTGTCAAGTTCCTACAGGCAGGAGACGATTCGAGCTCAAGCCCACTGCCAGGATGGGATAAGGTGTGTACAGAGATGGCTGTGAACCATAACCAGCCTACGGTGGACTGGCACGGCTGGCGCAAGATCGACCAAGCTGAGCGAGAAAAGGGACAGGAGAAAGGTAAGGAACGTGAAAAGTTCACAAGCACTAAGGCCATGCTCGAAGTTGTAGCATAAAGTGGATCAAGGATTATAATGGACAATCATTTCTGTACAATATTTTACTGCTTCAGCTTTTCCGTCAACTCCGGAACCTTGTCGAATAGATCACCAACGAGCCCTACATCTGCAACCTGGAAGATGGGAGCATCTGCATCCTTGTTGATGGCTGCGATGACCTTGCTATCCTTCATACCAGCCAGATGCTGGATCGCGCCAGAGATTCCCACGGCCATGTAAAGCTCAGGAGCCACAACCTTGCCTGTTTGCCCGACCTGCAAGCTGTTATCGGCATAACCGCTATCGACAGCAGCCCGAGAGGCACCAACCGCTGCACCGAGCGAGTCCGCGAGTGGGAGCATGACTTTGTCAAACTCCTCCTTGGACTTAAGACCACGCCCACCAGAAACAACCTTGCCAGCAGTGGCAAGATCGGGACGATCCGACTTGGTCAACTCTTCGGAAACCCACTCAGTCGTAGAGGGTGCCTTTGGGTCCACACCGGCCTCAACGGACGCTGAGCCGCCCGTCTCTTCAGCAGCAGGGAAAGCCGTGCCTCGAATAGTGACAACCTTGACCTTATCCGAGGACTGAACCGTAGCAATTGCGTTGCCGGCATAGATGGGCCGTACAAATACATCTTCACTCTCGATCGCGACGATATCAGACACCTGCTGCAAGTCGAGGAGCGCAGCTACACGTGGCATGATGTTCTTGCCGAAAGCCGTGTGGCTTGCGATGACGTGCGTATACCCGCCTTGCTTGATGTTCTCAACCAGCAAGGGAGCGAAGTTCTCGGGAAGACCCTGTCAAGACGAGAATGAAGTGTCAGCATTGGGTATAATCATGAATTATGTCAGTGGTAGGTCAAACCTTGTCATAAATTGCGTTGTCCACAGCAATGATCTTCTCAACGCCTTCCACCTTGGCTGCCTCCTGCGCAACAGCCTGGATGTTTCCTCCAGCAACGAAGCCGTGCACTGTGCCTCCCAGTTTCTTCGCTGCCGTGATGGAACTCAGAGAGCCATGGTTGAGCTGGCCCTCGCGCTGCTCCAATATCGCAAGCGTCGAAAGGAAACTGCGCCTTGCTTGGTTGGAGAGAGGTAGGCGCTGGAGGAGCGAGGCAGGTACTCCGCGAAAAGCGGCCCTTCGTGCAGCAGTGCAAGACATATTATCGTTTCGTATCCGCCGTAAGTTGAAAAATCACAGATATAGACTACAGTCCGCTCGAATGATTGAGTGGGCGCTGTACGAGGGCTTTGGAGCAGACACGCAGGGGGCGATTTGTGAACATTACGGATTTCGAATGGGCGTTCACTGTTGCGGTTTGTCACGGCCCGAGGTTGTCGTCCGTCATCGGCTGCTACTGATCAGGGGTGGGGCCACTCACCACAGTTATGTCATCACGTGAGTAAAGCCAGGACCCTCATAACTGGTTTCTCAGTGGGATGTGAAGGTTACTAGGACAGTGCCCCTGCAGATGTGGACGCTTTTGGACCGCCCATCAGCAGCAATCTGTTCAGTCAGTCAATCGCCTTCCTTGCCCAGCTGCCAGCCGCTGCCCTTTTAGAGAGACCCTCCTGCAGCACTTCAACCGCGCCCCCAAAATTCTTGAGACGCGATCACGCCTCGCGACAGGATCATCCACTTTCCACCCCCACGGACTCGCTATTCCGCAAAGATAACTCAACACACTGACGTTCGAGCAGAGAGTTCGCAGTTGGCTTGACGTTTCCTAGCGCTCCCTCTCTCTCGCTTGCTCTGACGCCCGCGTCAGGTCGACATCTTCACCAACGCGCACCGACTCTAAATCCCGTCGCGCGTTCACCGCGCGTTCTTCCGAAGAATTGATCTTGTCGCGCATCACTCACCACGAAGTCGCCTCAAGGACCTTTATATTCTCGCTGTCGTCAACACCATGGATGAACCGACCAACTACGGGTCGCCGGCCAATGCCGCGTCACCCACTAGCAATACCCTTCTCGCGCAGCCGCCGCTCGTGCCTGAGATAAGCAGCACCAGGCCGGATAACTCTGAAGGTTCGTTATCATGTTGGCGCTCTCGCCATCGAATCAACACCTGGTGATGATTTCGTTTATTCAACTCTAACATGTCTGTGGCTCCAGATATCCAGATGGGGGAAGCCGTGACCAATGAACCCATTGTCAAGCAAGACAGCGCCACCCCGGCCCCGATCACAGCTTCGGATAATCCTCTGGATGCACCGGATGGTCCCGCAGCCGAAACCACCATCTCGCGCGATGAAGATGACGCCGAGATTGGGAAAGATGCAGGCGATGAACCCGATGCCGACGCTGCTGTCACTGGCACGGAAGCAGAAGGACAGGAGGGCAAGACAAAGGAAAGTGTTGAGGCAGCTGCCCGTGATCATCTCATTTCCCAGACCCATGCCATAATATTGCCAAGTTACAGCACTTGGTTCGATATGAACATGGTCCACGAGATTGAACGTAAGGCCATGGCCGAGTTCTTCAACAGCCGCAACCGCAGCAAGACCCCTGTCGTTTACAAAGACTACCGCGACTTCATGATCAATACCTATCGCCTGAACCCCGCGGAATACTTGACCGTCACTGCTTGCAGACGAAACTTGGCAGGTGATGTCTGCGCAATCATGCGCGTTCACGCCTTTCTCGAGCAATGGGGCCTCATCAACTACCAGGTAAGTAACTTGCTATTACTGCTGGACGGTCTCAACCAGCACACTATTGGACTCAATTGTATGATGCTGACATTTCCAGGTGGATGGAGATCACCGACCCTCTAACATTGGTCCCCCTTACACAGGCCACTTCAAGGTTATTTGCGACACGCCCCGTGGCCTGCAAGCCTTCCAGCCTTCGGCCGACGAGGAGATGACCAAGGGTAAGCAAAGTGTAGATACCGACAAGAAGGCCTCGGCTGCACAAGCTGCGAAAGGAGATTCCAAGCTAGAGGTCAGTCGAAACATCTATGACGGAGACGCCAAATCAACCAACCTCAACGCCACGACCGAGGTCAAAACCAACGGGGAGACACCAACCACAAATGGTGTGTCGGCAAACAAGGAGGCGTCGACGGGCCCCATCACGAAGGTCAACTGCCACGCCTGTGCCGTCGACTGTACTCGTCTGTACTACCACGCTCCAACGAAGGAGGGTAGCGCCAAGGCAAAATATGAAATATGTCCCAGCTGCTTTCTTGATGGTCACTTCCCTGGCGATTCGAACAAGTCACAATATACCCGTGACGGGGACGGTGCGCTTATCCGTCAGGACAACCCCACGTATACAACGGTGCCAGAGAGAGATGCTCCATGGAGCGATGCGGAACTCTTGCGACTACTGGAGGCTCTCGAGCGTTATGACGAAGAATGGACCGACATTGCAGAGCACGTCGGCACTCGTACTCGCGAGGAATGTGCACTTCAGTTCCTGCAACTCAGTATCGAGGACAAGTACCTTGAATCTGAACTCACCATTCTTGGGGCTCATGGTGACAAGCAAATTCCATACAACCAGGCCGACAACCCAGTCATGTCTGTCGTTGGATTTTTAGCTAGTTTGGCTGACCCAGCCACCACAGCCGCGGCTGCCCACTCTTCCGCCGACGAAATGAAGCGTCGTCTACGTAATCGTCTCGAAGGCGGAGAGTCACGGGAGACTGGAGCCTCGAATGGCAAGGCAAAGAAGAGATGGTGATGCAATGGAGGTGGACATTGAACAGGAAACGACCACGACAACCGTTACCACAACAACTGTTCGCAAAATGGCATCGATACCACTAGCAACAACGGGAGCGCGCGCTATTGGTCTTGCCACGGAAGAGGAGCGTGAGATGACGCGACTGGTGTCAGCGGCGGCCAACGTGACGCTGCAGAAGCTGGACCTGAAGCTTAAGTATTTCAATGAGATGGAGGCTCTGCTCCAAGCCGAGCGTCGCGAGCTTGAGAGAGGCCGACAGCAGTTATTCCTTGACCGACTCGCATTCAAGCGAAGGGTCAGAGAGGTCCAGCAGTCGTTCAAGACAGCGGCGGCCACGGGTACCGACCAGGGACTTCGACTGGGAGATGATATATTGATGGGCAATGGTAGGCTTACGGTACAATCAGTTCCAGGAGCCGATACTGTGCAGCCATTGAGCAGTGGGGGCAAGGTGCAGAGCCTGGAGATTTGATGAAGGGGAGGTTGTCGATTGTGGTTCTGGGCCAAACCAGAACCGAACGAGGGATCGATCACACTAGTTGGTACTACGGCGTCGAAGGGGGTTCTGGGGAATTTTGGGCTGGGCGGCTTCATGTCGCTTGGCACTCGCGGATGGCATGGGATGGTTCTTGGTTTCGTCTCGTCTACTGTTGTTCTGCTTGAGGCTGTATCATCAATAACAAACTTATACATTTCTTCGAATAGCTGATTACGAAACGACGCCCCCGCTCCGGCTCTGAGAAGCAAGCACCGGCCGGCCTCCGTCAGTTGAGCCGCTTCGCGTTTGCACCATGGTGCATGTGACAGCTTGTGCGGATAGACTCCCCTACAGAGTACATGTAGTTCATGCACTGCTTGTATCGGCTGCACACTGTCTGCCCGCTACCTCATCCCGTTGTTACTCCACATGTAGGCTGACGGTGTACTACTAACCTCGGCACACTCACACAAGGGGGCCGGGGGGGGGGGGGTTCGCCGAACAAGCGTCTCATCAAGTCTTCCATGTCATTTCAAGTTGACAGTGCCCGTAACGGCGAGGGCCGAACACTGGGCTGCTGTTAGGTTCCAATTTTTACTAGGCCGGCGATTGAAGCCAGCGAACAGGACAAGGTACGCGCGAACGGGATCGGCCCAAAGGCTCTATGATGAAAACATGAGTTTCGTGTTTTCATACCCCAATACACGCACAGTCATTCGGCCTCCACATCCAGCGTTGCCAGCGTGTTGGCAAAAGAGATCCACATAATATTCCCGTAACCGACTACCGACACAAGTCGAGTTAGAACCCCGCCATGCCAAACTCGCGCTAATTCTGGGCTGGGCCCTGGGAATCCTTGTCCCTGCTTACGACAGCCTAACCCGTATGCGGC